TATAAAAAGTTTCTTCCATATTAGTAATCCTCCAGACCAAGTCATGTCTATCAAGACAAAAAATGAATACTTTCAATCTAAAGATATATTAATTAGCTTTTATTGGATACCCATATCGATATTTTGTGTTGATAAAAATATTCCTGACCCACCAAAACCTAGACCCGCCTTCTATGAGTCATCATTATTATTATAATAAAAAAATATTTTAAATACCTTTTATTTGATACCCATATCAAAAAAAATTATTTTTTACACTCCCTCCCCTATCTACCCCTCAGACAAAGTCATACCCATCAAGATTAAGAATAAAGATTTTCAGTCTAAAGATATTAAAATTATCTATTATATGATACCCATATCGATATTTTATTTTGATAAAAATATTCCTGACCCCCCAGACCTAGACTAGCCCATTAAGGGGGAGAGATTGACTTCTTGATTAGCTATCGATAGAATTGATACCCTATATTAGACATATCTTATTTCATAAGGTCAAAAAAAACATTGAAATTAATAAATAACAATAAAATTAAAAAGAAATAAAACGAAACGAAACGCGCGTAAAACGCATTTTAAAATAAGACCTCTTTATAGCGATTAAAACGTGATAATACCGTATTATCATTCCTTAATTAAAACCCTAATTTTTAGTTATACCTTTAAAACTGGTGATGATCCCGGATAGTTCAGATCCCTTTAAAAATTACGACATATATATATTGGGAATAACTAAATTATCATCCACTTCTATTCTAACTCAAATTTTTTTAAAATGTCATGTGGAGTGGAGCCTCCAATTCTAGACCGACGATATATAAAATCTTCAATTTACACTTTTTATAAAAAAATAATTATAGAATAAACTTAACTTCAATATAAAAAACTTTTTATTTTTAAAATTATAATTTTCTTAAAAAATTTTTCTAAGTAAAAATAACTAAAATATAATAATTAATAAACAACTTCAAAAATATAAAAAAAATGCAATGATACTTTGCCATTTTCATCACAAATTATAAATTTACAACATAATTTCTCTTTATTATTTATACATGCATGACGTTTAATCTTTATTTCTTGTCCATATTTAATTACAATATGTATTAAAATAAAATTTTATTTTTTTATTTTACCCCTTATATTGTATATTTAAAAAAAATAAATAATAATATTACTCGTTTCACTTTACTGTAATCGGAAATTACGTGGGGGATTTGTATAAAAAAAAATACACATAGTTAAAAGAAAGTAAAATAAAAATTAATTATATTTAAATAGATTCTGGCCGTGTCGGTAAATTTTTTAAAAACGGGCCGGAAAACATTTTAATCAAAAGACCCCAAATTTAAACAAATATTTAAATGGTAAGAAAATGAGATTTAAAGCTTTATTAATTTAGAATGTATAAGATTTAATTTAAGATTGGAAAATGAGATTTATTTTTTCTTACTTTTCATTTATCCGAGCCCCAGGTGTAATCCATAGGTGTGCCTGAACCCCGGGTCGGCCTGAGCACATAAAAGGGGTCGTAAATTTTACGACCAAGCAAATTAACAACAATGTAGATGTATGCATATTATATCGACATAACGTCTCATATACACATATCAAAGATTGTTTGCATTATATATTGCATTTGGTTAAAAAATCTCCATTGCAACTTTCTTTAATAGATTCTTGAAATTCTTCACTTTCACTGTCTAACGTGTAATCATTATGATTGATGAAATTTTCTGTACTCTTCTTCAAGCCAATGAGTAAATTGCTATATATTCTAGAGAATAAAATTAGTTATTCTGGCAGTTTATCCCTATCTACCTTTGCTAATGAAGAGATTCTTTTCAAAGCCTCTTTTGTTATATCTATTAATTTTATCAAAACTTCTAGGATGGAAATATTGAGCATCAGTTATTTTCGAAGTTCATTCTGTAAAACTAATTACTATCTGATCAATGATATCGCGAAAAACATTAATTCTGTGAATTTGAAGAGAGTCATTTGGACTTTCACCTGAGCATTCCTCAAAACACATCTTTTTTACGATTAATTCTCCCCAGGCGATATTTCAGTTTCCATGCATATGTCATCAGGTATCATCAAATCGGCCATATCTTTATTGATTGATAATACCATATTTGTAGCTTCCATATGTATTGAGAGGAAATTTATATTAAAAGAAAATTTAGAATCTTCAACCATTTTCCAGGCAGTCAAAATTTCAAGGTTTTTTGTTTATAAATATCTTGATAGAGGCCCAATTATTTTAAAAATTTTCAAAATAATTTGTGCGGTTAAGAGGGTTTTAAATTTGCATAGCTTTTCAAATAAAGCCGTGGCTTCTGAAGTCGTTTTTGCATCAAAAGAACCTTTGTTATATATATAATGTAAGGCACCTATTGTAGTAGATATTAGCGCATCTTTTTCATTAAACAACCAAAAAACTGGGTTCTCGCGTGTCCACTATCTTGTTTCCCCAAATTTTGAAGCCTTTTTAATTTTTTTTGATCCAGTAAGCGGGTTATTCACACTTGCATTCGCCCAAACTTCCATTATTTTATAAGATTTATTAAAAAATATCGCAAGCCTATTTAGTAATTCAAATAAATTTTTCGCCTCGATATTACCATATGTGTACAAACACATAAGTTAAGAATGTCGTTATAGCACCAAATATATTTAATTCATGGCACTTTTTGTTTATTTTGAGCTTGCAAGCCACCAAATTCACTTCTCATGTTAGCTGCACCATCAAAAGATTATTCAATTATATTATTTAATTGTAGCCCTTGTTTAGAGAAACAAGAACTTAATAATTCAAAAAGTCCATTTACTTGAAGAATTAGTCACTTTATCTACTGCAGGTTTTTTGTGATTTCTTCATTATAAATGTACCATAAACAAATCGTAGCTTGATCATAAAAGCTTTTATCTGAGTGCTGTCTTCTGTATGCTGAATCTTTTATTTTCTAATTGTTCCTTAAATCCTATATATAAACCTAACCTTTAAATAAAATAAAAGCATGAATGAATTTTTTTATAGTGCTTATAATTTCACCAGATAATTGAATTAATATTTAATAATTATTTAAATTTCTAATATTTAAAAAAAAATTGTATCAAAACATATTAGATTTTATGCCAATTTAAAAAAAAATCGTTTTTCTTTACTAAGGAGGCCCCCAAAGCCGCCTCTCTTAATATGGTTAAAAAAAGATAATTTAAAGATTTATTTTAAAAAAAGATTTAAAATTCTTATCAAATAAAAATATGTTCAAAATATTTTTTGCTTAAAATTTAGGGCGTGATATTGTAACAAAAATAATATTACAAACAATGGCTGCATATCATTTTTTTATTAAAAAACATGAAATAAATAAATCCATTTTAATACTATAGTATAAGCATATTTAATTTCATAATATGATATAAACAAAAAATATTAAATCATATCAAATATTTAAATATAAATAAAATAAATTATTTTACTAAAAAGAAATAAATATTAATAAATGCTAGGCATATCTTGTGGGGTGATAATATAATTAAGCAAAGTCTTTCATGATCAGTTATATGAGTAACTATATCAAATATTTTTATCCCCCCCCCCCCCCCTAGTAGTAGCTTTATCCATCAAAAGGTAGCGCTTGGCTTGTTGCCTATTTGATAGGTCTTTTAATTATCTATCGATTGATACATCTAATTATCATATATTTATATACATTAATAAGTTTAATAAGAAATAACTTAGAATATATGGGCAGAACCCCTGTTATGCTCGTTAGCTGATTTAAGCTATTATTTTTAGAGCCAAGCGTCAGGTCTGGGTATTACACAACCAACTATTTAACAACACTAATATAATTGAGTTTCACAAAGTTTTAGTTAACCTATTGAGTTCACGACTCAAGTTCATAACTCAAGTCGCGACTTGAGTTCGCGACTTCGACTCGAGTTCGACTCGGGGTCGAAGTCAGGAGAACTCGACTATTTAACAACACTACTGGTTCTATTGGTTCCTTGTGGTTCCTTGCCATAGATGGAATAGTAATATTATAATTTCATTAATAATCGTTTAGTATTGCCAAAAATAGTGTTTTCAATTTGTGTAGAAAAATAATCGTCCAGGTTTTTATTTAGACTTTAATTTATATTTATACCATGTCGTTGCACTCATCAAAAATATTTTGAATATATGTGATTTAAAATTCTTTTAGTGGCTTTATTTCTTTTTAAGCAAATTTTAAAGTAATAAATCTTCGATTATGTATCCTGTATGTAGTGTTTTTAAGCGGCTCGTTTTGAGCCGATTTTTTAAAACGGCTAACTCAGTATTTTATCCAGAAAAATATTACGCAAGCCTGAAATTTTTTTTCATAGAAGGAGCAAAGGTCTAGATAATAGTAACTAAATTTCGATGCTTAGTCAATATTTTTCTGGCAAAAATATTGAGTTAGCCGTTTTTAAAAATCAGCTCAAAACGAGTCTTTTAACAACATTACCTGTATGCCATGAAGAGGGATAGAGACATTTACTTTAAAGGGGGGGGGTGGTAGGAACCTAATATATTGGCAGTAAATAAAGTTTGAGTAGTAGGTTGTCTAAAATTATTTCACTTATGAAGACTTTCCTTCTCTGAGTTTAGGATCTAATTCCATTCAAAATATAAAAATAGATGCATAGGGCAATTATAAATTCTCAATTTATATGGCTGTAAATCTTTATAAAGAGGAAATCATAATTGAAAAATTCAAAATCTTACATTTTTGTCATTTTGAATAGAATTATATATTAAACTATATTAATAATTTTAATTTATGTCATGTAAAATTGAGGATTACGAATAACGATCAAATGAAGAATTAAAACATTAAAAAAAATATTTTTTTAGTGTATATAAATCTTATTTTAACAATGCTATTCGAATTATTTGAATGATTTTATGCTTGTATAGCAGCTTCACAATGTAAAAAATTATAGAATAAGAAAAATTGATTAATATAATATAGAAGATTTTATTTATACAAGCAAATTATCAGCAAACTTTATAAAATATTTTACAAAAAATGACGATTATTCATAATCTATTCAAAAAATATTTTATCAAGCATAATCATATCATATTATCTATTAAATTTTTTTAATATATGTCATGAAAGAAAAAAAAAATTCAGGACCAAAATTGGTAAAATTAATTAATAAAAGTTATATATATTTAAGAGTAATATTTTTGAGATTAATACAATTTCCATATATTCTAAATAAATTTTTTATATCTATAATTATTTTTATATTCGATTTTATTGGTACATAATTTATCCAATTTTATATGTATAGGTTAAATTTTGCATAAAAAATTGAATATTGATTTTTTTAAAAGAAATAATATTTCATTAATGTCCATTTGAACACTATTTTTGTTTGTCCATATTAACACTATTTTTATTCAAATATGAATAATTAATTATTTTTATGAGAGAAGAAATCAAACAATATAATATTATTAGTGAATATTATTATAATTGGCCATCTCATATACATGCCTAACTATAGCTCAAATCAGGCCTGATTCATGGTAAAATCAACCAGATACTTTTAGGATTATTGGTTTGTTCAATATAGTGGATTAAATAAAGGGTTCATTAAAAGCAATAGAAGACAATTGTAAAAATCTTTATTATATATTGGAAGCTATTTTTATTTTGTGTATACACATTTAAAAAAATATATACATATATCTAGATTTTATAATTATTATATTGTAATAAAATCCAAGCCTATTATCTTCCATATATGTTATCACCATCTATCCCTTAGATTTAAAAAAAATTGTACATAGATATACTATATGACTCCTACAAATGATAAGAAAACCTTATAATAACAACCTTCACCATCCCTTCTCATACAAATGATTAGAATTTGAGCATATTTAAATAACATAAATATAAATCTGACCAAAGGCATAGGTTTTATAAGGCATTTGCCTTGGGTTTGCTGAATAACAAATGTAGAATCAATAATTTTTCTTATTTTTTTAAGACTTGAATTAATAAAATCCATTTAAGACCATTTATGGCACAGGAAAGGCTTAATAGTTTATCTATTGTTTCAATATAAAATAACAAACAATTTGTATATTGAAAAGCTAATCAAAAATATCTTTAAAATAATATTTGAATATAAATTTAAATATGATGAAATTGCATATATTTAATTATCTTTGGTTTTATATAAAAATTATTTAAAAAATAAACCTTATTTATTTAGTATGCCCAAAAAAGGTTTTAGAAATTGATTGAATGACTTTATTTTTTTATCTGAAAATAAAAATTTTTTATTTGGAACTTTAAATTATAAAATTAGTCTTGCATTAGCTGAAAAGTTTTACAATTTTCTTTTTCAATTTTTCAACACATGAAAAATAAATAATATTTTAAAATGATTATAGGGGCAGCAAAGCACAAAATAAGATTGTATTGTCTAAGGAAAAAAAACGTCAGACAGTCATTGATTGCAACTTATTGGTAAAATACTTGGAAGACAAGACCACCACCAACATCATGCTTTGTTAAATCTAATAATTAGTTGGAGTCTATAAGTAGAACTTTTCAATATACTAAACATTTTTGAACTAACAATCTATGATCAGAGGACAGTCTGAGACCTGACGGATTGACTACAATTCCCTGGGAGTAAATTCCTTACTTGGGACTTCATTTGTATTTCCTCATTCCCATTGGGCAACAGTACAAATCCATTAATATCAGCCAAATTGAGAAAAATGCAATGCTATGTATATCCATAGCTCTTCGCTATGGCTGTAATGCATTTTCACCCTCCATTTGCATAGATTGTGACCAGTCCATCGAATCTAATTCCTACCATGCATTGCAAATTTGCTGCGGATGACAACTATGCCATAAATCCATTAACAACATACTTTCAACTGCCCTCTAAAGAGTTAATATCCCATCCACTCTCAAACCAGTAGGCCTTTCAAATAAAAACGCACTACGTCTGGAGGGTATATTCCTTATCCCCTCTACGAATGGTCTCCTGCTGGCCAGAGACTACACTTGTATCGATTTTGTGAAGTTTAACTTCTCATTTTCTGCCATCGAAAATGCATCAGTCCTTAAAAAAATGCTGGCCTCACAAACCCAGTGTTCATACCAATTGCTTCAACACCTTAGACATCTTCGGAAATGAGACTCTTTATTTTATTAAAACCATTAGCAAAAGAGAGAGATTACAGGTGTCCCCAATGAAGGATTTTAGTCATCAGATTTCTCTCGAAATCTGCTGGCCCAATTTTCTAAGCATTCACTCCTCTCTAGGACGATATGCTACCTTTTTTTTAAAGTTCTTTTTAATGTTTTTAATATATTTATATATTTTTTTCATATAATTTTTAATATATATTTATTTGTTTTTTTATTATATATTTCATTTTGACATCGTTTATTTATTTATTTTTTAGTTAAAAATCTTTATTTTAAAATTTATATTATATTTATATTAATGTTGAAAATATAAGTTATTCTGACTATAAATGATCATAATTTATAAAAGATACTATATCTATAATCTATATAAAAATATATAATTAATAGAAGGGAAATAAAAAAAATATTAATTTAAGATAATTAAAAATTTTTTTTTTTAAATTAGGTATGATCGACAGGGCTTAATGACCCATGTATGGATATGCAGTTAGAACGACAGATTTCAGTTGAAATTCTCTGTCGAAGGTAGAAGCCTTCTTTTGGATCATCGTATTTTATTTCTAAATTGAAACCGTTTTTTTAATAAAATTATTCATAAATAGAAAAATAAATAAATAAACGGAATAACTACATTTTCGCCCCAATTGTTCTGTTCGCTATTGGACTTTTTTCTCTTGAAACTTTCAAATTTTAAAAAATATTTATCTATAAAATCAAGGCTTTTTTAAACAAACCAAGATAAATTTCTTTCTTCAACAAAACGTGTAAAATAGAAATTAAATACTATCATAACTCCTTGTGAATCCGGCTAAAATAATAATTGCTCCATATATTTTGTTTAATAAATAAATGATGTGTACGTAATTTTATACTCTCTAAATTTGTGAATTAGTTTTATTTAACGAAAATTTGTTACTTAATTAGTATATCTTAGACATATAACTTCATGACAATTTCATTGAACTAGGACAGGGTATAAATGATCGTTTCAAAGTTTATTATTATTTGTTTTATTTTTAACATTTTAGTGAGAAGTCTTTTTAAAAATTATTAGCCAGCGAAAACAGTTTCACTGAAATTTATTTAAATTTAAGCTTGTTAACATTTATCGATGGTAGCTATCTATTTCGATCATTTTCATTGATTTCTACTTTCATTTAAAAAGAGCGCAAATATATGTTATATAAAAAATGTATAAATAAATAATGCTTATTAAATCTTTCAAATCTTAAAAAAAATTTCAATCATTTTTGAAAGAAGGGACACATCCCAAAGGACCTTGTTGACCTTCTATATTATGGGGAAAGGTGGGAAAAAATAATTTTTGCCTTCAGATTTTATGTAATTAAATGTAAATTGGATTATAGAATATATAATTATTTATGCTGATTAATTCCTATTTATTCTTAAAATTTTGTATAGAAGCCGGCTTTATATAGGCTAAATAAAATTAAAATCATTGTAAATGTCTGGTTTACATCCTCCTAATCAACAATTAAAATAAAAAGATATCCCAAATTAAATAAATTCTAAGTTAGGCATTCATATATACAGTAAATAATAAATCTACCCTCAATTTATTTTATATTTTAATTTGCTTGCGACAATTATTTTGTCCATATATTTAAAAAAATAAAGTGTGCCTTATAATTACTTTATACTTTTTTTATTCAATTAAAAAATTCCAGAGAGCAAAATAAAAAAGATTCATTATTTACAACTGCAAATGCAAATGCAACAAGTAAAATTGGCGGGATTTATATTAATTATATTTAAATTATTTATCATTTAAGTTCAAACACCTTTTTTTGTGAATTTGAAAAAATGATAATTAAATACGATTTTACAATAAAAGATTTTAATTTTTTATAATGAATTTAATTTCATTATCAAAATTTTAAATCCTTAACCTTGAAATATTTTTAAGATACGTCATGTTATTATTATTATAGTAATTATTGTACACGCACACTATATAAGGGCGTTTTATCTCACTTTTTGAAAGCAGTTTTCCAATGTAATATTCAAATTATGCTTTTTTTAGCGTTGCAGGAAAACTTATATTTTTTTAAATATCAGCTGATTACAAATTAAATAAAATGCAATGAAAATTTTGAAACTCCTCTTATGCTTAAAGCTAAAAGGAGAAATAGGCAGTCTCTAACCAGGGTTATCTGGATTTAGATCAATATCAACAATAGACGCCGTATCTGGAAAAACCTATGACTGACTTGTTATAATGTTATGGCACGAAAAGATTTGGGAAATGCTTAATCTGATGGAGATTTAAGATTAGAATTCCAATTAGAAACACAACTGGAGGGTTTGATATACGTTATTTGCAAAGGTATGATATTATTTTCCATAAAAGGACATCAAAATGCGAAAGAAGTTAGTAGGTTGGGAGTAATTAGTCTTAAGAAAACTATACCCAAATAGTCGAATTGGATGAAGAGGACCAAGATTGATGGATGAATAAATTGAAAGTCGCTCCAGTATATTTAGAAACAATGTTCAAGAGTGATGGGTGGATAGATGAGGTAGTAAAAAGATTGTGACAATATAATTCTGATATGTTAGGCAAATAAAAAAAAAATCATATCAAGAACTATTATTACCATAAAAATATAGATTAGGGATATAAAAGAGAAGCCGAGGGATGACAGATTAAGATGCTTCGGGGATGAAAAGAAGCCTAAGGGAGGGGGGAGTAATCGGGGAAAAGTAGAAGCGTTCACACTAGATGGAAACGAAGCAAAAGAAGACCGGTACAAGGAGGTATTTGGCGAAGAATATTAAGGCCATGTTAAGACATAGCTAGAGATGACACAAGACATATTAGAATGGTGAATAAAAATTTGAGTGATTGAAGGAAATTCTGACCTTTTTCAAATATGATTGCATAATCTAGACTAGAGATCAAAAATTTACCAAGCCGAGAAATTAATAAAAAAATTAGACTTTGATGGGCCGGGCAAACATTTAAATTACGGGTCAGGCAAGTGCAAAAAATTTTAACGGACCAGGCTTTGCAGATCTCTGATCTGGAGTAAGAATAAGAAGACTAAAATTTATAACTGATAAAATGTTGAAATACAGAACTCCTTTCATCCCCTTCCCCTCCAACTAGGGGTGGGACCAATACCAATATATTCTTGTTTTAAAATACCAATATAAAATCAAATATTGGTATTGGTTTTACCACGAATACCAATTACTTAAAAATATTGATTTAATACAAAGATAATTCTTTATACGCCCTTATTAGGTATCTAACTGAGGTAAATGAAATATGTATAAAATAAATAATACAATTGAGATGAATGAAACACAATAGAAATCCAAGAGAGTAACTTTTTTTGATAAAATATATCAGATTGAAGAAAATCATTATCATAATAATGATAAGAGTCTAGACATAAGCAATTAGATTGACAAAGCCATCGTTTCTAAGGATTCAAATCCATTAGACTGATGGAGGTTACATCAAAAATATACCCAGTTTTATCTAAAGCTTCCAGATTATCTGGAAATTACAGCCTTCTAAACTAGCTCTGAAAAAGTTTTTTCTTTTTCATCTTTCCTTTTTATTTATTTTTTTCAGGATTTTGAATCCTCGTTTAAAAAAGGATTCTGATTTAGTTAAATCTCAAGGGTTGGTTCTCAGCTCTGTTTTTTTGAAACAGCAATACTTCATGGCTTTCTTTCCATGCTTATTCAAAAATATTAAGGCTTATTTTTAAGATTTACTATTTTTATTCTTTTAATTTATTAATAATTTGAATTTAAACTTACAAATTTAACAATAAATATATCTTCTTTAAATGTCAATATTTTAGAACCAATATAATATTTCTTCAATCTTGGGTTTTTAATATTGGTTCCCAGACCGACCTCCAACCCATTCTTGTCCGAATTTATTTATTTATTATGATAGGAATTTTGGTGAATGTAAATAATGTCTATCTCTATTTCTCTTGAATTTTTGAAAATAGATTGGAATATCTTTCAAATGTAATTGAATAAATATATTATCATTCAGAGTTCATATTTACACAATCCTCCTCTCATTTTTATAATATTAAATTTTCAGCTGTATGCTTGGGTTTAGATTTAGAATAAAATATAAATAATAACTATATATTTTAAAAAAAATCTCAATTTTTATAAAATTCAATTTTAAATACATAAACTTTTCTTTTTAGTACAATTAAGAGTTCACACATTTGCTTTGGGTATCGAGTTCGATTCTCACCATTTTTAATTTTTTTTGTATTTGATAAAAGATAGTAAAATATGACGCTTTAATTTAACATTACGGATATAGTATTAAACGTTCGGAGATCGTTAAGAGACAAATTTATTGAAGGTTTTAAGAATGAAATTAAAACATGTTTTTATTAATTTCTTTGTACTTACATGTCCATTTCTTTATTTTTACAAATTGCATTATAAAAATATTGGGGACTACACCGAAGTATATCCATTTTTATCTAAACTTTACCTTTACTTTGCATAAGATTAGATGAAAGAAATATAAATAGAAATAAAAGATTCATACTGACTCTTTCCCTTATAAATTAATAAATACCATTTAAATAAAGTTAATCAGAATATTTATGATTCATATCTCTACCTATTTATAATTTAGTTTTATAAATAAAAATCATCATAGTATTAAAAGAAAGGAAACAAATCTAGCAGTAAAATGTGTTTTTTATTATACCAATTTAAATTATTAGTGAATCTGAATTTTATTTAAAAAACTAGAATTAATTTTAATTTAATATCCAGATATTATTAATATAATGGTTTAAAAGAAAATATTTTAAAAAGTTATAAAAAAAACACAAATAAAACTTTTTTTTTAGCCTGTTTAACTAAAAATCAAACATTCTTTAAATTATCTGCCAAATATAATATTATATTCTTAATTTTTTAAACAATATATTAAAATTTGATTGATTTTTTAATAGGCTAAATCGATTACGATCCGATACCAATGTCAATAGAGTTGCATTTAATAATTAATAATAAACCATGATACAATTTTTTAATTACTTCGATATCCCCTATCCATCCAATATAATCTCGGCCGAATGCACACCATTCAGTAATACAACGATTCAGGGGTATATCTACTTTTAATTTAGTTAGGCTTGAACAAAACTTCCATAAATTATATACCTAACTGCAACCCTCATAACATAATGATTTTGCTATTAAATCAACTATTTTTGACATTCATTATTTGTTTTGGTTATTTAAATTCGCAATAAAAATTATAAAAAATTTTTTTGATATATTATTATAATATACCATTCCAGGGAAAATAGAATTGAACTAGACATTAAAAATTTATACATTTTTTTAGTGTTGAAAATTAATTCTTGATTTATTATTAACAAATGCGCACTAATCAGATGCATGGAACGGAACTTTCTAGACATGTTCCGAAAACGGAACTTGGAAAAAAATATGGAACGAAGACGGAAGGGAAAGATAATTCTCGGAACGCTCCCGAAACAGTATATATAATAGTTTTTCTCTTTAATTCCAATTTGCTTCCACCTAACAAATTATTACCCATAATTTATTTTTTAAATTAAATTAAAATAATTTTAACGGTTTTATTAGAAAATTAATCAGAGTTGTGCATTTGACCGATCAAATATGTTTCGGTCAATTGACCGATATTGGTCAAATATGGTCAAATTCAAAATGTATGTTTTTTTACTTCAATATTAACTTTATTTTGAATATAATAGTACAATGAATCTATAATATTAATTTTTTAAATTCATTGTCATTCAATAACTAACGTTTAGCTCTCCGTAGCAGAGTCTTGTTCTGATTCATATTCAATATTATCATTTTCTTTAATATTTTTTAATCAATTTTCCTGATGTCTTAGATTTTCAATCGATTTCTATTTTCATAATAATATTAACCTAAATCGACCTATTTATTTCTAAAGAAGAAGTAGAACTAGGAATTGTTAGTCTCCTATGGGCATGATGGGCAAAGTTTAATCTACTAACTTGAGGTCGCAATTGATTGTTTCTTAAAAATTACTGCTTTCCACATAATATGCGATTAAACATGCTGTTTTTGCTTCTGAAATTAATTATATCACTTAAAATACTTTGGTCATCATCACCTTGTAAAATGGCTAATTCTTAAAACTACTAGTAAGATGCTTCTTTTGATATTGGGGACCCAAAAAATAAGCAACATTGTGATCACGTATTTGTATCGTTTTCCCCTTTTTAAACATATTTTTTATTATTTTTCCTTTAGATGTTTTTAGAATATTTGACCGTATTTGACCAGGTCAAATACTCCTATGGTCAATTGAACGGTCAATTGACCGACTTGCCAACCCTGATTAATATAATAAAAGTAAATTTCAATGGATAATAAAATTATATATTTTCCAGAAACTCGTTCCTAAAAACGTGAAACGGAATGGAAACGTAACATTTTATTTGATAAATATCTAACAGGAACGCAAAGAATGCACTTGATATATTTTTGTATTAACACAATAATCAAAGATGTGAACAATGGTCCGGGTTCGGGTACAGGAATATAAAAAAAGGTCCGGATTTAGGGTTTAGAGAATATAAAAAAAATGACTCAAAATAAGACGTTTTTACAAAAAAGGATTCGAATTGAATAGTGCATTATTCATATTCAATTCGTATTCTTACGAATAATAAAATCTACTATTTGTATTCAATTAAATGATTGAAATGAATTTTCTTAATAAAATATATCACACTCAAATATATTATTATTTTATTGCAAATTTGATTTTAAACAGAAAAAATTATTCTGATAATAAAAAAGTATGTAATCAATAATCTGATGATAATAAATATGTAATCAAGTTATAAAAAAATTAGAATATATATTATTAATTTAATTCATAAATCTAAGCCAATTAAGGCAAACAGTTCTTATGTTTTTTTCCTTATATGACATGCGATAATGATTAATAAGAGGGGATGTTGTTTTGCCTTTTTATTTTATAATGCTCTTGCAATGATTGTAAGCATCTTTTTTCACCGTCTTTATTGATTTGACATTGATCCCATAATATAGCTCTTTTTGTGAGGAAATTTTGTCAACTTCAACATCAAGCAAACTATTTCATCAGAAGCTAACATAATTAGGCTACACACAATAATTTGTTTTAGAGATGTATTATATTTTTATATACCTTTTGTTTGTGTAATGTAATTTTTTAATATAAGTAAATTTATTATGAGATTCAAAAAATAAACTTTTCGTGAGATTCAAAAAATACGGCGAATAAAAATTTAAATATTGCTTTAATTTTTACAAATAATTATTCGTATTCTCATAACAAATATATATTTTTTTTGTACACATTCATAATTTACAAATAAAATATTTAAAAATAAAATAATATAATTTTAAATGTTTTATTCAATCGCACAATCATAATATATTCTAAAATATCATCCTTGAGATTTCCACTTAATATTTCGAAGAAGAAAATGCAAATAGTGAGATATCTTTATAATACATAAATTATTGTATACTTTTGTTGACGTTACAGCCATGTCGATTCTAGATAAGATCTATAATTCTAGAAATCTTTGAGAGATTTCTTCTAGAATTTTAAAATATGTGTATCCTTATTTATTTTCTTAACTTCTGAGAACTTTTCTATTAAAGATATAATACTTATTTTTTGTTCCTCCTTTCTATCTGATGATAATTTGATTTTTTTTCTCTATCTAAAAGAAAATTTCAAGATCATCAATGTTGCTATCATTATCATTGTTATCACTATAACCAGTAGTTATTGTCGTAGCCTCCAATATTGGAGTGTTTTGCTTATGCCATAAATCCTTAAGATGGTCTTTAGCCATCTGTTTTTGGTCAATACTCTATAAAACTTGATATCGAGGGTCTAAATATATAGAAGCGTATACAACACTATTTTACAAATGTTTTTCTCTCGAATTTCCATGTTTTCGAATATTTAAAAAGGACTAGTAAATCTTTCAAAATCTAAAATCGGTATCTAAGCCATATGCCATAGAAATCAGATAAACATAATTGTTCTAATTGTAATCTTAAAGTTGTTTTTTATAAAGTAACTAATACACTAGTAAGATCCTTTATTTGGCACTAATCATTTTCGACAAAACGACTTTACATGCTCCTTTAATAAAATCAGTACAGAAATCTTTCAAACTTAAAAATCGTTCTAGCATCATACAAATTGAGGACCAACGTGTTGTACAATCTAATATTGTCATTGACCTTTTCATTAATTTTAATATTCTTGCAATTGAAGGAGTTCTTGAATTTTGCAACATCCCTTGCTTTATCAATGATAGTTTTAAAGTGAATATATTTTAGGAAATCATTAATAGCCATTGTAGAGCATGGGTTGCACGCAATATATATTTAAGAAATCTTCTATCATTTCCTGTAAATTAATTTCATCTTGTTATCATAATTATCATTATCATCGTCCATCATCCTTCTCTTCTAGTGAACATTCATTTAATAATTTAATTGACTTTATAAGATTAGCACCATTATCCGTACTAATTATATTAACATTTTTTATAGGAATATGAAATTTATTTAATGTTTCTAATATCATTCTTTTTATATATTCAAAAGTTGCACTCTCTTATCTCCTTCATAGCTAAATTTCTCATTATTATATTATTTCCTTTTATATACTGTATATTTATTCCTAGAATATTTCTCCCTAATCTTTTGGCAGAATCCATTTTTAATAAAATTAATTGTTTGTCTTTTATTATTTTTGCTTGTATTTTTTTTGATTTATTAACTACTAGGTCTTTAATTTTCGGTTAATTGTTCCGATTGCCTTACTAATAGGATCTATTATTTTTTTTAAACCAGAATCCTCAATAATATTGAAAGGTCTTCCATATAATCTAACTAACTCAACTAAAGCATTCATCAAATTCTCAGACATTTCAATATGAATGCTTTTTAAGTAAAATTTTTCAATATTATTTTCATTCTTCTTTTCAATATTGACATAGACTTTATAACAGTGTTTCCAAAAATTTGGGTTTTCTATTTAGGTATTCCTCAAAGATTATAGAATTTTGTCTTCTTGTTTTTCCAGGGTAGTATTGTGTGAATCTTTTATTATCATGTAGGAGGTTTTGCATTCAGAATCCCCTTTAGTTACATTATAATATTCTAATAAAATATCTTAATTTCATGCTAAAAAATAAAGAATGTTTAATAAATTTTTTTAAAAAACTTAGATTTGCTATATAAAAAAAAATAACTAATTTTTTGATTTGATAATTATAATATATCTGATAAAGATATATTTGCAAAATACCACCAATTTTGACTAATTTAATTTTCCTCCCAAAAAATTATTGCCTATTATTTACACTACAAAATAATCACTTAATAAAATTGTTATAAAACAAGTAAACAAAGTATTTCTATTATATTTATAAATTATCCTTTAAAATTAAAATCTTGCACTACATAATAATTTCCAATATTTCACTTTTTTTAAAATATTATTTAAAAAAAGATTTTTGACACCTAGAACTCTACTTTTAAAAAGGGTCGGGATTCGGTTTTAGGATACAGCCAAAATACTAGGGCCCGAGTTCACATTCCTGACAATAACATTAAAGATAGGTAACTTTTTTATTTGATTTTAACAATCATTTTAAAGTTTTTATCAAGTAGACATTCCTTCTTATCACTTACTGAATCGAGACGTTTTACTTAGGTTAATGTTAAAATATATCATGATGCCGCGATCGATATAACCAAAAGGCCAAATTTTATTAAAACATTTAAAAAATATATTAACTAACCTTAACCCATACATCTCTAACTTATTAATCCTGTCCTCTTTCATAGCCTAACGCGTCCAAGATGTTGGTTGTATAAAAATATCTAAGCCAAAAATCGACCTCGATACCAGGATCTCATTAGCGATGTATGCCTCTTAGCTTTTACGCCATTTAAAAATTTCATTTATACACATGAACAATAAACATTCCTGGTATATCGGTTATGACGATTAGTGTTGTTAAACGGCTCGATTTGAGTCGATTTTAACGGCGAACTCTATATTTTATCCAGAATAATATTGCACAAGCTTGATGAGTTTTCTCATAGAAGGAACAAAGGTTCTAGGCACCTAGCGAAATCTCGAGGCTTAGGAAATATTTTTCAGGCTAAAATAACGAGTTAACCGTTTTTAAAAATCGGCTTTAAACGAAACGTTAACAACATTAATGAGGATCATAGCAAAATTTGGTTCGTTCATAGTCCTACAAGGCCGGGTGGGCATTAATAAAATATAGGCCTGCGAAAATAAAGAATTTTTAAAAAATTAGGTGAAAATTTGTGATAAATAGAATAAAATAGATATAAACTTAAACATCATTAAATTATATCAATGTTATTTGCTGAAATTTTATATTTAATGAATAACATTAATGTAGAGAATAAAATAAATAAAGATTTTTAGTTTAAAATTTCTTCCCTATAAGGTTTTAAAAAAATCGCAGGTTACTGGCCGAGTTGGGCCTAGATCTAAAAAATTTAACCAACGAATCGCGGGCTGACTTGGGTTCAAAAAAATTGAATTTGCAAGGGTATTCGTTCACATCGCTTCATGCTATATTGCTTATACGTTAGAATTAGATGTAATGGTAGATATATATTTTATAAATAATTGTTTAATATTCTGAAAATTTAGAGATAGGATAGACCCGGATATTTTCGCTAAAATAATTATCTAAATTTTATTTTATACTTTGATTCAAATTTTTAACTTTGGGAAATTTGTAAAAGTATATTTGTATCATTCTCTTTGCTCTATTCTCTCGTTTTGGACCCAACTTCATTTATCTTGAAATATGGCTGGTGGAATGGAGTATGGCAGCGATTATAATGAACTATCTTATATTACTCTGAATTTTTACTAAGAAGAAATTGTAATTAAAAAAATTCTAAAGGATTAAAAAAAAATTTTTTTAAATCAAATTTGTAAAATATTATTGAACTAAGAAATAGTATTTTTCATTAAAATGAAAATTTATTTTTTGAATTCAAAGACGATTAAATTTAATTTTAAGATAGAAAAAAACTATTTGAAATGTATAAATTTCTCGACACCGATAGGTAAATAACATGTGCACAGAATCAAGTTGAAGTATCGCAGATACTCTTCTTTACTAGATTAAACTTTAACAACTCTGAATATTTAGATGTACACATTATTTTTAAGTTATTAATCTATTATTAAATGGGCTGAATTTGGAAAATACATTTTTGGTTTATGGAACTAAGAGAATTGCAGGAGGGAATTACTTCGATTTCAGAGTACCACTCTTTTAGAATATCATGCAAAATATATTAAATAAATGTGTAAAGAAAAGCATAATTATACTTATATTATTTCAATCATATGCTGTAGGCCTTTTTTATCTTCGTATATGTCAAAATAGATTTGATAAATTCGCCTGTTTTTTCAATTTTTGATGAGATGGATGACCCTGTATTACGATTAAATCATTTTTGAGAATTTGACTCTGGTCTTTTCGATTTACGATTGGATGTAAGATCTTGCAAAATCTTTGATACGCTTATGATTTGTAGTGTAGATAATATTATTTTTTAATTAATGATATTAAGGGCTATGCGATTACGTAAAACATTTAAAATTTTTAATTTTTTACTTGTAAATTATGCATGTATTATTTATACGGAGTATAAAAAAATAAATTGTGTAATTTTAAGCCAATATTTCTTCATGATCTCCAAACCCCGACCTGGACCCGAACATTATTTTAAAAATTTTATTCCTGAACTCGGACCTGGACCCTTTTTCTTTGTCGAAGTGTTCACATCTTTGTTTAAAAAATATTTAAAATGAACATGAATTATAATGAAATTTTGAGTAAAGTGAAGGTTTTAGACTTATGCAACGTAACCGATAATGGCTAATGCTAAAAGATTATTTTTGCGAACATGTATAAGCCTATTTTAAAAATATTACCAGCCCTACCTAAGACATATATGTTTTTGTTTAAATCAAGCAAACGAGATTAAGAATTATTTCGTTGTTTGGTTATTAATTGTGTAATTTCGCAAAATGTAAAAAATTTAATTTATTTATAGTCTCTTATGGGGGAATAAATGTCATGATTGTTTATTATATAAGACTCCAAATGATTCTGCTTGGTATGGTTAAATTAAAAACTTAAAATTGAATACAAATTCACGAAATAATTTATTCCAATTTAAAATTGCAAATTAAATTTATTATACTTAAAAAATACTAGATACTTAATTTAACCGTTTTTTTTGAAATGTGATGTGATAATAAAAAATAAAATGTAATCCCCATATAATTTTACCAAATTGTAATAATACTAACTACCAACTGTTTTTTATGGTTAATTATTTAAAAAGTTATTTAAAATATATGTTATGGGGATCATTTGTTGAATTAGGTATCAAGTTTCACCAAACAATATGTAACAAGAGGGTTTTATTAAGTATTATAATTATTTGATACTATGAAGCTAATAATTAAATATCGGATATTGATTTTAAAATTATCCCACTCTCCTCCAAAACTAATTAGAATATTGACTTTATGTAATTATTATTAAAAAACTGATAATTTTCAAATTTTTAAAATATTTGGAATTCTTTTATTTTATATTATAATTTATAATGGTTTAAGCTTATTATAAAAATATTTTCTATAAAACTTAATTAAAAATAATATATTTATTAAACCTACCTTGCAAAAAATCGGCGCAGGAATAATACTTTTTTTAACATGTGGTCTGGTTGGGCTTTAAAAATTAAATGTAAGAAGGGAGCGTGTAAATTTATATATATTTTAATTAAAATTTTAAATAGATTTATTTTCTTTTTTATTTACAATCGTTATATTAAATTTTTTTGTTTATTCTTAATTCTTGAATCAACGAAAACGTTCACCAAATTTATTTGAATCCACAAAGATTTATCTTATAGATAAAATGATCATACTACAGGCGAATGCAGAGCGTTTTTAGCCCTTCCCTAGCTAAGCTATTCTCTAAAAGAGGTTACAACGTTGAGAGAATACTTATTAAGATTTCAGATATAAAAGGAAAGATTCTATACTAATTATGTCACAATTGAAGACGTTCCACCATATATTTCTTTATTTACAGATTTCATAAAATACTTAAGTTCAAAAAAATAAATTCCAAATTCCTTAAAACTAGCCCTTAATAATGACGCCCTCCCCCTCTCCCACCCCTTGTAAATAGGAATGAAGGCAATTATTTTATTTTATATACGATTATTTGAATTTTTGTTTATATAAGTGACTATGAATGTAAGTATAAAATAAAGATGTTATATTATTTTTGTTATAAAATGTTATTGATTAATAATCTATAATCTTGCTGCCTGCACTAAATCCTATTATCTTCACTTCATAAATACTAGACCAGATATATCATTATTATTGACTTAAGATTTTAAATGTGTTACGTAATATGAAAACAAAGCATTTTGTATGTCATAAACTTAATCTTTCTTTTTTTATAAAATAAATATCTTTTATTATATTGAAAATTTAATGAATCGGGGTTAACTAAGTTTTTTGATCATTAAATTTTTTACGGTTACATATATTTAATGTCTATATTTAATTCACATAATGATTTAGGTTTTTTCCCATCTAAATGCAACATTTTTTTTCTTTCCATTTCTTTTCTTTTTCTTATTGATTTTTTTTTGCACAGGTAAAAAATATCGATTTTTAATAAACTGTCACTAGACAATGTACACTTATAAAATGATGACGTGATATGTGTATAAGCCTACGAAAATACGACTTATTACAACAATATTTATTTTTATCTTTATCAAAATGTTCTTTATATTGGCCAAAACCTAATTTAAAAATTTAATTTTAATATTGTTTTCTATCTTTTCTCATTTTTTGGATTAAAACTTAATTAGTTCACTGAAAAAATTTTTTATCCTATGGAGTTTAAAGTTTTTATGAGATTTGAGGCTATCTTGGGCGTTTATTAATTTAACTTAAAAATAAATCTAATCTGCAAAATATACCTTTAATCATGTATTAACTTAATTTGTTGGGATGCCTATGATTAACTTAATTTGTTAGGATGCCTATGGCACAATTGACAGAGAAAAATATATATTTCACTTTGGCGTATTATTACTACAATCTAAAATTCATTTAAAAGACAAAGTTCATCTAAGTCTATGAAATCTGTAATTTATTGAATAGCGACAATAAATCTTTTTTTTACGTTTATAATGAATGGGATTGCATGCGGAAATCATTCCACTCATATATTGTATTAAACAACACGTTAATTTTAACAAATAATTTTTTTTCAAATTAGGCGTTTCAAATATATGAAAATTAATTAGTGCTATAAAGGCTACTTCAGAGCAGGGTTATGGTCCTGAATTCGAGTTCAGAAATTTAAAATTGTTTGGTTGGACATTTTGAGACTACAGAAACAGACTAGATAGGTCGATTTATGGGAAACCCATCGCACCCTGGACGGGTTCGGCCTCTTTTTGAAAATCGGTTTTCGATTAAGTTCATGTTATCAAAATGTTCGCTAAACAAAATTCTGAACCCGAATTGCTGTTACATGACGTTATTTTCTTCGAATTTACTTTGAGCATTATTATTCTTTTTTTATCGGTTAAGATCAAATTTAAAAAGAATTAGTCCTTGATTATCTAAAATTTGGACATTTCAGAGAGAGAAAAAATCAAAAATATAGTGTCATACGTTTTAGCGAAGCATACAAAATATGATATAAATATAAAAATTTTACAATAATTTTATTTTTGTATACTTCGCCACGAATTCGCGATACATAATTTACATTGCTAGTAGTGTTGTTAAAAGGGTCGATTTTTCAAAACGGCCCGATTATAGCTAAAATAATATTATGTAAGCATCGAGATTTGGCAAATAGATGTCCAAGCATTTCTGCTAGCTATGTGCAAAATCCTTAAGCTTACATAAGGTTTTTGGTTATAATCTTAATCGGGCCGTTTTTTAAAATCGACCCAAATTGGGCTTTTTAACAACACTAATTACTATAAACAAAACAAAAAAATAGAAACCTAGCAAAACTGTTTTTTTATATTCTTTAACCTAAATTCATTCAATTTAAAAAAATATCTTTATAGTTCGAAAAGATTCCATTTGGCGGTTCGTTTAGCAAAACTGTCTTGAATGCAGCCACAACTAATTACTTCACGAAATCTAATCCTTTCTCAAACAACACGTCTAATCAGCACAGTAGCAATAAAAACTCTAACCATAATTATAGCTATTATGGTAATCTTAACAATCACGGGGAGGTGAACGGAAATTCGAACTTTTACGAAACGAATCTACGATACAATAATAATCCACAAGGTAAAACACTTTATTACTGATCTGCAGTTCCAGGTCGAAGGCCAAAATATTAAAAAAAATACATACCATAGAAGGATATAAAACATAAATGATCTAATTTTAAAAACTAGGGCCAGGCTGGAATATCTACAAACTGTGGTTAGGCTTGTAAATTGATATTCTTGTAGATCCCTTTTGGTTCTTGAGATAATAATTTTTTAGAGGTTTTAAGGTATACATACTGTCGAATTAAATGTATTATTTTGAAAGAAATAAAGAGAGAGAAAAAATTTAGTGCTGTTAACCCATTACTGGTCAAGGTTATAGTTTTTTTATTGCTTGTTTTGGACTAACTAAGACATCTTATTAAATCAATTTTTGAAAAACGATTAATTATGAGTTTTTTAATATATTTTAAAGATGCGAGTTTAAAATTTTTTTTTTTTATTTGTAAATTTTTATTAACATAGTTTATAATATTAAAATTAACATATCAAATATAAAATAAAACATTATTTTATAAAAACGGAGGTGGGGCTACAAGTTCCCAAAAAACATTTTTGTTTTAAAAAATAGTATTCTTTTGGTTCTGATGTAAGGGCTTTTATCTTACTGCCTATATTTTTTAAGAATTTTAAAGTTCCGCTTGGCATATGTCCAAGGGAAGAGATAACGATCGGTGTAAAAATATAATTTGTGAATTTGGAGTATTTCATTGTTTTTTTTTCTCGGCTATATCAACAGGATTAGAATATAAATTTTTTGGGAAAGAAGATACGCATGTGAAGTCCCAAATTACGGATTTCCCTAAAAACCAAGGCACGGAAGTTAAGCCATCTGGTCTTAACCCATCATCTAATGATAAATTTGTAGGCTCCAGGATGTTTGGTATTCGGGCCCTGGTAAGAGAACGGCTACTAAATTAATTGCTGCATGCCTGCCTTGACTATATATACAATTTAGACCATGTCTCCCTTTGGAGTCTACTAATATTTTACATTTGATGCATCTATGTGGTTGAACAATGTTACATCCAAGTCGATGGCCTATGGCAACTCTTAGTTGTTCATTTGATAAGAGGTTACCTAGGTTACGACTTGGTAATGCTTCCAACCATTCATAACCACTAGTACAGTCAGCATTCTGTAATAGTTGAATATACTCCAAAGTTTGATGATAAAGGTTCGAAAATAGATTGGTGTGTTAAGATTGTGGGTAAAACAGCTTCAGGTGGAGCTAAAGATACCCAGGCTGTCAAGGCTGAGTTTAAAAGGTTATCTTTAGGAGAGATAAAAGAAGATATCATGGCGTTATTCATCAAACGCGATGCCAAAAATGAGGAAAGAGATATAAGATTTAAAGGATATAAATCTAAACCACCCATTTTCGAGGGTAATTGTGAGAAACCCCAAAATTCTTCCAATTTAATATTTAAAATATTTTCTACTAAAAAATTTATGAACACGATTAATAATTTCATTATTTAAAAAAAAGGAAGAAGATTTAAAAATATGTGAAATCTTTGGTAAAAATAAATATTTTTTTAAAAGAAAAAGCTCTGGTGTGAAGGAATTTCTTTTAAAATATTTTCAAGTTCTAATAAGCCTTTGAAAAATTTTTCCACGAACACCTCACAGTTGGAAAAACTGTTTAAAGGTGAACTTAGAAGATTAATTTCACTTTTTTTAATGATTTTAAACCCTTGGACTTCGAGAGTATCTGAATTTAAAAAGCATATTTCAGATTTCAGATTTAGCTTTATTTAGAGTACGGCCTATGTTTAGAGAATTCTTCTCTATATATACTATCGCTGCAAGAATATTTTTAGAAGGTCCGCAAATGGTACCATCATCTAGATATCATATGTTTAAATCTAAATTAAAAAAGGATTTTAGACAATGAACTAGGTTGTGAGGGGGCCCAAAGGTCTCCCTGTTGAATACCTTCGTCAGATGGAATTGTATATTCCCCGAATTTGAGAGGGGTTCTACAGCCATAAGACTGTTCAATAAATCTTGCAATTAAAAGAATTTTTAAAATCAAGCTTACAGACTACGGCGTCTGGAGGAGGATCTTCGATATATATGCGAAGAGAGTGAGCGGCTATTTCGCATCCCCCTTTAGTACCAAAGCCTAGTTGATATATTTGGAACATTTTTGAAGTATCAGGTTTTATGCGCTCAACGATTATCTAGTCTCCTAAAAAAAGACCCTATTGCAATTGGCCGAACTCCACCATCAGGCTTAGAAAAAGCAATTAATCTTGCGCCAAAAAGAATTTGGTGAACTTGACTAGGTAAATCATTGTTCAATATATTTTCACAAAGTATATTATTTAATTTACAAATGAATCTTGATAAGGATTTTTAGGGTTAATTAAAAATTGGAAATAAGAGGGGCAACCGTCAATTCCCCCTGCAGAGTTTTTATTAAAAGATAAAATTGTTTTAATTAGTTCTTCCTTACCTATTTCGATTAAATTAGATTTTATAGGTATGGGAAGATCTTCAGGAAAAACCTTAGGGTGCAATTCTTTTAATAAAATGAAAGTATGTTCATCAAATGGAGCCAATTTATCATTAGATGAAGCTAATTTAAGAGCTCCACATACGACCCCTTGGTTTATTTTTTTTGATATAATTTTGCATTTATGGGCAAAATCAGATGTAGCCCTTACATCAGGAACGTAATTTTCCATTTCTAAGTCATGTCTATTTTATATATTCATGCAAATAGTTTATTTATTTTTATCTCTAGGTTTAATTAAGACTTTAAAAGGAAAGGTTAAAAGATTCTCCCAAGCTTTAAGGGAATTTAAATTTAAATTAACTTCCATAATAAGTGTTGTTAAAAAATTAGAAATTAAAGACCTTGATTTAAAAGGGGTAGGTGGATTAAGGTTGGTGGCTTTTCCTTATTTAAAAAATTATCATAAAAATCAGGATAAAAATTTAGAGTTACAATGGGTTGTTTCAATTTTGTTGTACAAAATTTCATTTGAAGCGGGTTTACCAGAGTTTATACATGGTTTTGACCTGGGCCATTTAATTATTATTATATATTGTAATTGAATTTAAGTATAGATAAATGATATAAAAATATTATTTATAAAATTTGCATTTAGGGTATGTTTTTTGCAAACTTGCAATTATTGCATATAATTCTTTATTTTGTTAATATTTTGTGAACAATCAAGTTCATTCATTTATAAATCTCAATTTCTCATGGGAGTGCTTGGGACGTTTGTTCACGTTATTTCATTATAGATAAAGTCCCTTCATCTCTTATTTCTGCGATTGGGGGGGGGGGTGTAACGTTTCAAACAGGATTTCTTTCATTTTGTCAAAGAGAACCTCATTTTTTTTAGATAGTTAAATTTTTACCTAATATTGTTAAATAAAAAATACTTCTATATGCTATTAATAGCTTTATATGGTTTGTGTTTTCATATCACCTCAAAAAATATTACATATTATAAATCTTTGAATTAAATACCATAATTTTTTTATAATTTTAATATATAATTAAGCACTTGAGAGAACAAAATAAAACAAGTATAATTATGTTTAAAAGTTTCAAGTTGAAATTTTTGTTAGAGAAATATAGATTCGCGTTATTCGTTTGTTATTTTAAATATTTTCCGCGATAAAATTTAAAAAAGGTATGTTGACTGGGAAAAATTGCCGTTAGTTGATATGACTATTGGCTGAAATATAAAATTATTGAGTTTTGAATATTTACTAATTTTTTTATTTTCCCCGGTAGACGCAGGTTGCGTTCCAAATAAGGGATTTGCCGTTGGACCAGGGGGTACAGGCTAAACCGTCGGGTCTGAGGCCAGCCTGTAATGAAAGGTTAGTTGGTTGAGGATATTGGGAATTTTTGTTATTAAATGCTTTATGGATGATTTTGTTGATTGCTTTATGATGGTGACCTTGGTGACTAAGGGTTCAGTTAAGGCTGTGTCGGGCTTTAGGATGTACGGGTAAGTTACACTGATGGCATGTGTATGGTGTTTAAGTGAGCATCCAAGTCTAAATCCTATAGTAACTCAGTTGTTCGTTGGTTAAGAGATTATCTAAGGATTGGTTTGGAAGCGCTTCGAGTTATTCGTGTCTCCGTATTTATGTTGGTTTGTAATGATTGTATGTCGTTAATATCAGTAGGATTAAGGCTATTTTGTAGGTTCATTATTAGGGGTTCAATAATAGATTTTGGATATTTCGGTTGGAAATGTAAAACCCAGGGATGCGAACCCGACAAAATTTTAGACCGGGTTCGGTTCGGGTTCGGTTCGGGGTATAAAAAAAAGTTGGGTTCGGTTCGGGTTCGGTTCAGGGAAATATTTTTGAACTCGGGTTTGGTTCGGGTTCAAGAATTTTTGAGTTGATAAAAAAAATTCTATATTTAAATCATAATAAAAAACTAGACATAAATTTGATATAAAAAATTAATTTTTTATTTTATTTATAGGCAAATATAGTTAAAAATACAAAGCATATAGTCATGTATCAATTTTAAAAATTTTATTTAGACGTATTAGCATAATATCTTCCAAGAGTTGTTCACTCATCCTCGATCTATATGGTGAAAGAATGAATTTCAAATGTGAAAAAGATCTTTCAACGCTAACCTATGTTAAATGTATTTATATGTGAAAATATGAAAAATTAACTTGGGTTGCAGGAACAGCAAATAAGATTTTAGATAAAATATATAATTCAGGGTGTTCCAGCTTAGCAGACTCCCAAAAATGCAAAATATTTTCCTTCTTATCTAATCTTATATAATCGCTAAATCCAGTAATTATTGTTCCAATACTTTTCTCAGCAATCGTTGGCCCTCTTTTAAGTATTTTCTCCTGCCTTTCTTTAAGTTGTATCAATTTCTCTAAATCATCTTCTTGTTCAATAACTTCATCGGAACTAATATCATCAGATAAAATTGGCGTTGTTAAGCTTTTAATTCGTCTCCATAAATTGACAAGATGTTTTTTCGCACAAATCTTATCATCATCACTAAGTAATACCTGTAATATTTAAGGATTTATATTGTTTATATTTAAATATTTCATAAAATAACAATTTTAATATAAATCTAAAATAATTAATTTACTAAGCTTTTAATTAACCTTGTATCTTGGGCCCAGGTATATGGCAGCTAAGAGAATTTCGTTCTTTATAAACCTTTCTTCTCTGTTCTTAAGACAAGAATATAGTAATTGAGCAAAATGGTTTGGATTTTTTTCCAGTTCGATGCAGCATCTTAACCATGCTGCATAAAAATCTGTTAGTGTTAACTGTTCAGATTGGAATTGTTTGGTTGCGATTTTTAGCGGTTTTAAAATTTCAACAATCGTTATTATCTCTTTCCAATCTTCAGTCAATAAATAATCAGATTACTCTGTAAAAAAATCTTCGATATTGGGTTTTAGTAAAATCAGCCTTTCTAACATATCATGGGTTGAATGCCATCTGTGGCAATCTAACACAGGCTTAGGGAGTTTCATATTTTTTAATAACTTTTGGTAAGTGGGATGTCTTAATTTTAAATTTAGGCTCCTAGCTTTTGCAATGGTTTCCACAATAGGTGATAATTTTATAGCATCTTGAAATGCCAGCGGAAGTGTGTGAGCTGCACACCGTACACTATAAATCGGATAGGATATAATAGTTGATAAAAAAGTATTTTGTATATCATCAATATCATATTTATATACATTTACATCCATATTTTCCTCATCTGTTGATTAACTCCTTATATCATAATCAGTTTCAGGTTGCAGGAGCTTTATAGCTCTTAAAAAATAACAACCATTATCAGAAGTAATTGTGTATATTTGTTCAATATTAATTTTAAATTTTAGTAAAGTTTTTAATATATTCTCTTTTATATATTCTCCTGTACATCTCTCTTTCAGCTACAATTCCAAGAGTCCTCAAATTTATAATGGACTTTGATATAAATTATATATTTACACCAAGAATTGATCTATCTAATCGTTGAACTGCATCAACTTTTAAACTTATTAATTTTCCTTCTACCTCATTCGATATTTTGTCTCTAATTGATTGGGCTGTTTTATTAATACATCTGGATAAATTTTCTTTGTTTATAACTAAATTGAGCCCAGATAGGAGTGGATTTATAATTCTTTGAAATCCCGAATCTTCAATAATTGATAAAGGCCGGCCATTTACAGTGACAAGTTCTAGTATAGAACTCATCAAATCATTAGATGATATATTTATACTTATATGCTTTTTTGGATAAAAGGTTTCTATATTAATTTTAAGCTTTTTTGCCAATAACAATTCCTGATATTTGGTTTTTTCATTTAAATAATTTAAATATTCATTGTTGTGATTTCTTTCCAGGTGTCTTTCTAAATTTGACAATAGAATACCAGACATTTTTACTTTGCAATATGAACATATTGATTTTTTTTCTATTGTATTAAGGGTAAAATGCTTATCAAATATGACTATCTTTAATCTTAAATCTATAAAAAGAGAACAATTTTTTTAAATAGCAATGATTTCAGAATTAAAAAAGAGATATTTATAAATTTAATTTAATTTATAATATGCACTTCATTAATATCTTGTAAAAATTAATCTGAACCAAAAATAAATGATTAGCATATATAAATTTTAAAATCATTTTAATAAGTTCACAAAAACTGCCCTACATTTAACAATTTTTAAGTTAGATGTTTAGAATTTTTTAAATTAACAATATAATAATTTTTACTTTGATTTGTTAACCATTTTCTTCTAATTAATAATCTTTAAGAATAATAAGATAAAAATTTAAAAATAAATGGCGTAAATTAATTCAATTGTTTAAAATTTTTTAACACTCCAATAGGAATCGAGAATAAATTTAAAAATGGCATAAATGAATTAAATTGTTTAAAATTTATTAAGACTTCATTTAATTGGAAATTTGAAAATATAATATTTGTATTTACATATATTAATATATGATTTTAAATAATACACTGAACCCGATTGAACCCGGGTTCAAATAAAATTCTTGGGTTCGGTTCGGGGTTTTGGAAATTTTATAAATGGGGTTCAGGTTCGGTTCGGGTTCAGAGTTTTTTTCTAAAAACCCGGGTTCACTTCTCCGGGTTCGGGTTCGGTTCGAATCCCTGGTAAAACCGTCTGGGGTAAGTTGTTTCCAACGTTCGATTGCTGCGGTTAAAAGATCATCATTGGATGTTATAAATGATGAGATTGCTGAATTAGCGATTTGAGATAAATAAAGATAGGGATAATAGTTCTAAAGGAATTATGTCGATGACACCTAGTTTAGCAGGTAATTGGGTGAGGTGCCAATTAAAGTCCGGTAATGAGAGGTTGAGGATTCTTTTTATAAAGGTTTTTAAGCAAATATCATGTTCATTGAAAAATTTTGAGGCGGTAAATGAGGTGGATGAGTGGAAAAGATGCTAGATTTTAGATAGATAAAAAATTTTTTTAATAAATTAAAACGTTGGTGTGATGGAATATGGTTAATGAACTTTTCAAGGTTTTGCATTTCAGAAAATGTTATATCGATAATTTTTTCCGATATATTATTATTTAGTAATGGGGAGCTCAAGAATTGGATATCTTCTTTTTCAATAATAGTGTAATCTTTAAAAAAATCAGAGAATATATCCGGGTTGAGAAAACATATTTCTGTTTTGGTTTTGTTTAATTGTAAACCAATTTTAATGAAGGGCTTTGCTTATCTGTTGTTAATTACCGCATAGTATGCCATCATCTAGGTAGGTTAAGGTCCAAGTTGAAATCTATTTTAAGATCTTTCATCATGTTGTGAATAACTAAGAAGAAGAGAATAGGACCGAGGGGTCGCCCTGTTGTACTCCCTCTTCGGAAAAAATAATGTTACCAGTAAAAATGAGGGAAATGCTATTGTTATATGTCTACGAAGCTCGAATATTGGGGGAAATTGTCGTAAAAGATTCGAGTGCCGAGGAACGCGAAATTGTATTGAAGGCATTCTTGAAATCGATTTTGCATAATACGGAGTTTATCGGTGGATGTTGAAGGTAGATTCGTAGGCAGTGAGAGACAATATCTAAGCCTACTTTAGTTCCGCATCCTAATTGGTATTTGCCCAGAAGGGACTGAGAATCAGATTTTATTTTTTTTGTAATAATTTTACATAATTATACTTGTTTTTAGGAACACACTCATTACTAAATTAAGCTCTTTTTAGAGCCTTCGATACTTTATATGTGTATATTTATTTTTGATATATGAAATATAAAATTTAGGGTTAGAATAAATATTTATAATTTAGTTTTTATGAATATAAAATTCAATTTTTTAATAAATATAACAAAAAAACTAATTTTAATAAATGTTTCGTAACCCAACCAGTAATGGTTTATAACTAAACTTTACTTTTGAGAAATTAAAAGTAACTAGTTACATGTTACATCTTTAAAGAAGAAAAATATAACTAGTTAAAGTCACATTGCAAAAGTAGGTAGTTACTTTGCAAGTTATTGCAAATATAACAAGTTATAAATTATATATTCATTTTTTATTATAATCTTAAATATACAGAATAGTTTTGCTATTTTAAAATTGTAATCCACTGAATTTAAATGAAACAATTTAAATAAAGTAATGATTTCACTGAGAAAAATATCAATATAACAATTTTTTCCACCGAAAATATTAAAATAACACAATATAATATTAATTTTTCATATAAATTTTGACTTTATTAACAATAAAATATTTTTAAAAATGGGGTCTAAAAGACGGATTAGTTTTTCTCCAAAAATAAACTTCTAGGCTAAAAGAATGTTTTAACAATAATTGTAAATTTTGGAAATCATCATATAATAATAATAAATGGTATATAGCTATATAAAAAGTTAACATCTATTTTAAATTACAGTTTCTAGCTACATATTTTTCAAAACTATATGGTTACAGTTATTTTCCTCCAAATTGTAATAGTTACTTTAACAACTCTAAAAGACATATAGTTAATGCTACTTCGAAATCTGGCAATTTAAAACGCCACTTCTTTTAAAACAATTAGTTCAATTTAATTATAAACAAAAGAAAATGATCGTTTTTTAAGATTTTTCTGAAAAATGAATATTATTATTTAAAAATGATTTAGTAAATTTACATTGCATTGTTTTATTTTTACAGCATGGTTAATTTTTATTTATATATTCATTAACGATTGAAGCCTGCAACAATCCCGATTCCGTATACGGTTCTTGGAGTGGTTCTGGCTCGGTTGGCCCATGTTCGAACTCCACAAAATCCCGCTCCAAAAAAGAAAGGGGCCGCGCCAACGCTTTTACCTTCGTTAATTCGGCGGGCTCTGACGACGATATAAGCCTTGCCTCGAGTCTTGCCTCGTTTTATCAAGCACAAGACTCGCAAAATTACAATGGAACCGATTCTACTTCCGCGTCTTGTTTCACGGGTTCAAACAACGATATCGCTCAATTGGGCGAGAGCGAAATCAATGAAAAGTTCGAGAGTATGTTGGTGAGCTTTTCAAAATTTTATTTATTTTGTCTTTTTAGTTTTACGCACTACTTTATAATATATATGTTAATGGGGTCCGGCGCGGTTGTATTTTCACCGCCGGATCCGCTAAAGAGCGGCTCTTGTTTTTAGTTAGATATTCAATTATTTTTCATTATTGTAACTCAAAATTACTTCCAATATTATTTTTTTGTAACGCCTGCAGGTAGTGTCATTTTATTTTCAAAAAATCTTATATCACAAAAATATCCAATTTTCGAAATTTGAGATGCATTATTCATTTATAAATTTAAATAAAATTTTTTTTTGGCATTAATTCAAGTGATAATTATTTAGTTCGACTAATTTTGTAAAAAATTTTTTTATTTTTTATTTATCTAATTATTATTTTCATACTGATTAATAAACACTATTTTTACTATTAACAACTCTTAAAGTAAGTTTAGAATATAAGTTATTATTTAAAATCGGCGAATCTTATCGACATTAAATTTATAATGAACGCCCGATATTTGATTTACACCATCAACATAGAACAAATATCGATTATTTGGGAAAATATAATATTCCTTTTAATCTAATTTTTTTAAATAAGGTGATTTCGTTTTAAACAATATCATTTTTTAGTCATTTTAAACAATATCATTTTTTAGTCATTTTAAAAATCAGTTATGCATAGACCGCAAGGCTTCAAGTCATTTCATGAAAATATGATAAATAAATGTTTAAATAACAGTAGACAGAGTTGTGCCCGAATACTTATATCTAGACCTATGCGACGACTAAACTATTTGGCGGCCGGCGCAATTTTCAAAAATTTAATCGACGGCCAGCGGCGCGCCAATTTTTTGCCGCCGTCAACATAATCGGCGTAAATCGGCCCAGTTATAAATTTTTTTAATTGCTTAAAAATAACACTACTCTACAGATATCTCGGCATATTTTTAATATTTATTTAATAGAAAACTCATAAATCTAAAATCGATTTCGTAATTTTATAATTATCATGTACAAAAATTATTTTATTTAAATTTTCGGGACATAATGATAATCTCCTTGAATTTAACGTCAATCCAGCGGTAGACAAAACTTTTCATTAGGTGTGCTGGTCGCCGGAATGCAAAAGATTTTTTTGGCGAGCTTGGAAAGATTCGAAAGTTAACTCTTCTTTTCTCTCCAAAATTTTAGAACGTTCACATCTTGTGAATATCGTTTTTTAAGAAAACTGTGGCATTCTTGTTCTAAGTCACCTAAATTGGAATCATAATTTATATTTGTTGAATGTTTATTTGCTAATAATAACTTGAATTTAATAATTCCTCTTGATCGTCATTAGCTAGCTATATTTTCTACCTGATTATCATTCTCTATAAGTTTAAGATGTTTTATTATTAAATACTTTGACACAATTGTTAATTTTTGAAATCTTGGATCTAAAAAAATAGCCAATACCTAGATAATTTTAAAATAAAAAATATACCTATATGTTATTACTTGCAGATTACAAACCCGAAATCGTAGCGCAAGTTTTTTTAGCATATTTTCTCTAAGTGAAATGATTTCAGAACTATTACTATCATTTACTATTAAATGTGTTTCAATTTCACTTCTAAAAAGTAACGCCAAATTTAAAGTAGGCCCTTTTTGTACTGAAAGAAACTCGACAGTTTCTTTAAATTTTGAAAGAAATGCTAATAGTACTTCTACCAGATCAGATTCATAGTTTGATAATTTGAGAAAATTCTTCCCAATTCTTTTCAAAACATTATTAATTAAATTCTTATTTAATCCTGATATGCTTTCTAGCATAATTAATATACTATGCCAACGTGTTGTGACATTTAATTTTAAGGTTTTCATATGCGTGGAATTATTGTTATTATTATCATTGCAATTGCCAATATGAAAACGGGTATCCGGGTATGGATCAGTGCTGTCAAGATCTAACATGTCTGATGTTAAATCTATTGTACTTAAGCATTTTCTTTGATCTTCTTTGAATTCAAATTCAACCTCTGCAGTTTTATATCTTAAAGCAGTAATAATTTCTCCAATTCTTTTGATGAGATTTTCAACAAAGGGTACCTTTTTAATACCATCTACTTTAACCAGATTGTGTAAACCATGACCCAAACATAAGTTCGAACACCTTTTCTAACATTAGTCCCAGTATCTGTGACCATTTGTATTTTTTTCTTTTTTAAATTAATTCCTCTTCTATTTTATCAATCTCAGTTAGAATAATCTCAGCTGTGTGTTTTTGGGTTATATAATGAGTTGCTAAAGTAAAGTAAATCATTTCAAAATTATCATTTATTAAATGAAGTGTAAATGTAATATAGTTTCTTCTTCTGTATTGATCTGTCCACATATCAAATGTAATTGAGCAAAATTTTGGCCCTGAGTTAATTTGTTCTTGTACATGTGCTTTCATTGATAGGTAAACATCATTAAGAGCAGTACGGCTTAGTGTTGTCATGTCTGGCAAATCAGAATTAGAATTGATAACTTGATATTTCTAAAATAAGTATTTTGAAATTTATAACAGAAAATCATTATATCTTTAATTTATATTAGACAACAAATTAGGGAGAACTTTTCAAGAAGAAATACATTTGTTAAAATTTATTCTGGGTTGCAAAGCTCAAAAACAGAGATGATTAAAACAAATGAATATGTAATAATCTAATATTATTTAAATCATATATGTTTATGTGTAATAATATTGTTAGCACTATAAAATTCAACTATTATAAATCTTCCTCAGTAGCCAATGCTATTTCAATAGAACAAAAAAGACATAAAGGTAGATCTATTATTATTATAAATAATATATCTATAAATTTGATACCTTCAAAAAATCTATTATCAATTGATTGAAAAGGTAATAAGTCGTCAGCACAACATAATAACACATAATTTCTTGCTAGAAGCCATTTTTTGGAGGTTTTAGAATTTGTCTGGAATTTTGGTTTGGATATAAAATATTTTTTTAAATCTTGCGATTTTGATGAAGTATCTGCTTTAATATTATGTTCAGAAGTCAAGTGTTTTAATAAATTTCTTGTGCTAATGTTTATTGAAAAGTTTTGAATTTTATAGCTAGATTATATTTTACAAAAAATATAATTTAATTTAGTAAAGATTTTGGCTATATATGAGAAAATAATATTTAAAAAAAATATACTGTGAAAAAATTGGCTTATTTGAATCATCATCTTCTCCAATAGCCTTTTCTAAGCAACAATTGCATTAAAATTTGTCAGAATTTATGGAAATTGTTTTGTTATCTCTTTTTAATCCAAAAAATTTCCAGACAGATTTTTTATTTTCCAGAGTTAGGATATTAAAATTATTTATGGAATTATTAAATGTAGATGCATCCATTTAAAAATATGTAAAATTATAGAAACTTTTAGAATTTTAGATTTGACGTCAATATAATTATGATTTTAAATAGTAGAAAATAAAAATTCATCAAACCTGATTGACATTAAAAAAATTATAAAATAGTGATGTTGACCAATTATTAGAATAAAAAGGTATAAATCGGCGGCCCGGCGTGATTTTCGTAAACGGCGACGTTTTCGGCGTAACCAAAAAAGGTCGGCGCCCGGCCTAAGATAAGAACCTTTTGTACTTTTTAAAAATAAGATACTAATATCTGTATCTAATATAAAATAATCTTGTTTCATTTTCATTTCCTTCACAATACAGATATTTTTTTAATATTTTTGTTTATAAATTTCAATATTAACTTTTAACATTATTTTTTTTTGCTAATTCTTTCATTGAATCTATTTTTCTTTGTTAACTTAATAATTAATGATGTATTTTGGCATACACTCTGGTAGTAGATATTACATTCAGCAATTTTTTTATATTTTTATTTCTAAAAAGGATGACATGAATTTATCGGAAGAAAGGAAAGCTCCTCTCAGAAATAGGGATATGAAAATGAAGCGCGAAATGCTTTCGATGCATCTTCGAGGAGTGTCTCATGTAATTTCTATCATAAATACAGTATAACCCGCATATAACTTTTCTCAATGGCGGAAAAATGAGATATATTTTTAATTTAACTGCATTTATTTTTTAAATCTTTTTTAAAAAAGTATTGTTAATAACAATAATCATTTTAATATTTAAAAAAAATCTTCGTTCCTAGAAAGGCGCGGTTAAAGCGGCCGGTCCAATCGATTACATAAAATTTTTATCGCATTACGAAACCACACCCTCCAAGCTACTGAGGTGGCTCGAGTCATTAAGGGTCGCCTTAAAATCCAATCCCGTCAGGTATAAGATAATGACTAAAGCCTTCTACTCAGAATAAGTTTTAATATCAGGTAATTCATATGAGGAAGAAAGTAAGTAAGATAGATAGAAAGAAAGAAAGCTGATTGATATCTTGTACTACTATATATTACAAGAATTTTTGATATTCTATTTTAAATTTCTTATAATACTTTAGTTTGAGGAAATATTGATCTGTAATTTACATAGAAAATATTAGTGAAAAAAGATCTTGCATTACACATATCGAAGTATCCATAAAAATTATTTCTTTATTATCATAAAAAAAGTTGGGTGCGGGAGTTTGGAATCGGCGGTTTAAATGGTCTGTTAGGAAATCTAGCAGCATCTTACGATAGGTAAATTGTTTAGAACACTATTGTGCAAACTGATGCGAATATATTTAACATACCAATTATTAAATTATTATATTTTCATGAATTATATTATGATCTATTCTACAAAACTTTTAACGTCAAACAATTTTATTTAACCTTTATTATATTTGTATTCACTATTATTATATCAAATACTAATATTCATATTCATTTAGATCCCCCAATGACATATACGTTAAAATACAACACGAATGCATACGATGCCTAAAAGCTTTCATGAATAACAAAGTATTTATCATTGACAATCAATTTAACTATTTCTCAAAATTTAAAATGGTCATCTTACCTTAGAAACATTTTTATAATTTCAAAGATTATTTATATTATAAAATTAACCATACTTAATGTAGTACGGTTTAACAGCTGTAATGCAACATCCAGATGCTTTGATACTCATGGCGAAATCTGTCGATCCTCGGCACCCTAACATCATGAATGATACGGTTAAAATTATGGCCGCTTTTTGCCTTATACCTCCGGATGGGTATGATTATTTTAAATATAATTATTGCGATTACATATTTTTTTGTTTGAATGAGATTTGTAGAAGTAGTTAAGGCCTATTTATTCTTGAAATTGAATATTATCTGGAAGCCTATATCTATTATTTTAATTTTTCATATAAAAATCATGAGGTTTAGTTTTAGAGACACAAAAAATTACAATTGCATTAATGAATCTAATTAATATAGACATTCCAAGGTACTCCAAGCCTTAACGATTTGTTGGGATGATAATAATACCGATCGATTTCAACCAATTATTATGGCTTTACAGATAAATAACCATTTAAATCTCCAAGTATTTATAATTTTAGATTTAATATATATTTTTAAATGAAGTTGCTCTCGATTTAACAATTTTTGTTAAAATTAAGATCCTAAATATTTAACATTTTTCAGTATTAGACCCATAAAAACGATTACAAGTTTATTATCTTCCCTAATATAATTTTATAATGTATTAACTAACATTAGAGTATCTATATATGCAAAGCAGTTTATTGAAAAATTAGCACGATATTTTGTATTCATCCACTGTTGAATATAGATTACATTTTTTACTGCACATTTTAAATAAAAAAAAAATATTATATATCAAAAAATTTTTTTTTCAACGAATAGGTCTCTTGCATCCAATTTATCAATGCAATAGTCAGCACTCCAGAAGATTTAGATTTCCGATTACATCTGCGAAACGAATTTTTCCGTTGTGGGTTAACTGCAGTTCTTGAGGTGAACATATATAAACATTTGACTTTTATTAAATAGTGATTTCGTGAATAAATGTTCTTCTAAAAAATTGATACAATTAATTAAAAAAAATTATTTTCGTCATTACAGTCTCTGACAGGGTCCCTTCCAGATCTAACCCCGCCTGATCTTAGACTTCAGCTCGATGTGTTCTCCGAACAGCGAGACGAGGATAAAGATGAACTTAGCCATCGCTACGATGAAGTAACGAATTTGAATTACATTTAGCATTCGTTCATAAATTATCCTTTTAGCTTCTCGATTGAAAACATTATCATTTAAAAATATTATATATTTTTTAAAATTTTAAACCATTATTTTTTTAAATTCCTATAGTAACATTTTTATCTTGATTTTTAAGAATTAATTTGATCTGCCAACGAGTTATATAACATTTAAAAATATAAAGATTTTATTTATTTATACTATTTTTAATTTATTCAATGTGTCATTAATTTACTTATTTTACACACATAAACAATAAGGTTAAGTTTGAATTCGAAGATGCCGACGATTGTTATCGCGCTCTTAAACGTTCATTCGTAAGGCAACCTGCCATAGAGAACAGTTTTCTAGCTATTCTTCAATATCTGCTATGTTTGAAGGAGGATGATGCTATCAAGTAAGCCCTTTTTAAGGTTTTTGGAGTGAACGCTAATATCAAGGGGGAGGATTAGAGATTATGGATGATTATACATATATTTAGGAATGTCTGATTAAAGATATAATTAATTTTTTGAGTATGTTTATAATGCTGTCTATTGTTGAAACACAGAATGCGATCAGCACACTGGTTTTTTTTCTTGAAACATTTAAAAGACAATTACAAATGTACCTTATTTATTAAAGAATCAACCATTTCAGTTAATAGTATTAAGGATCCCAAAATACTATTTTAAAAAAATATTTCCACTTGACGCATTTTTGCTCATATTTATAAAGATTTACCTTAAATTTTATTTTTTTTAGCTTTATTTATAGTATTTTTTATATTATTAATTCGATGCCATCAAATGTGTACACCTCCTAATATTAAACCTAAGTCGATACTCACTGAGAAAATCTTATTTAACAATGGTTATCAAAATTATTAGTTATTGATCTTATATCAATGAGTAGTGTTATGGAGTTTTACTGTAATAATTTATGACTGAATATTTCGAAATACAGATAATCATTTATCATTTAAAAGGCCGGCCTATTACAAATTGATTGAAACATGTGTTTCGCAAATAGTTCTACATAAAAATGGGCTAGATCCTGATTACAAATGTTCTCGAAGATTCAAGATGAACGTCGAACCTATTATTGGTACAATTATTAAATTTTGCATTATTTATTCATCATGTTATCTTAAAGTAATTAAAGTTTACATATATATAACTAACATTTTTAATATTTATTAAAATACTAAAAATTTACTTCAACGATTTTAACTTTTTGTACTACTTTCCATGGGAAAAAGTTTAAATTAAGGCAAAATTAAGTAACTAGAAAGTTAACCTATCCCACCTTAGCTCCACTTATGATGCTTAATTGTTATTCAATATTATGATTAACTTTTTTTGTCGAATAAAATAAAATACATTATAGTAAATTCTTATACATCTTTTATTTACTTCAAGACATAATAACGAGCAAATCGGATTCGACTTCTCTGGACGGAAGCGCAAACGGTAGCCTCTCATCTTCTCTTGGTTCTGCGCCTCGTCGCGCTCTCGAAGATGCTCTTGCAGCACGGCATGAAGCGGAGGCGAAAGTAGCCCATCTGGAAGCTAAGCTAAAAGATATCACTAGCAAAGATGCCCTCCATAATCTTAATGCAGGATCTCTTATAAATATCGAAGTATAGATTAGTGAAAAATAATACCTTGATTTTTAAATAATTCAATTTATCTTTTCTTTGTTAATTCTTTAGAGTGCAAATAGGAGGATTAGGATGATACAGAAAAATGTTTTTTTTCTTTTTTCTTATTAATTTTAGAAATGGGATTAAAATATACTGTTATAAAATTAATCAGTAAGTGTAGTATACCTGTGGCTCTTTTTCCTTTTAATTATCTGTTAACACTAGGGTCAATAGGTTTAGTAGATGCTAAAAATATAATTATTATAAGTTTGGTGTGAATTCTGTTAAATTACTAGATTCATTTTCTAAGCACATCATGAGTTAATATGTTTATTACATTAGTAAGGTTATGTAGCAATCTTTTTGATATAATGTTACACTAAATTTTAAATAATTGTTAACGAATTAATTTTATAATTTATACTACACAAAAAAAAATATTAAAAATTGATCAGACTAAGACAGCCTCATCATCTTCCTCACATCCAAACATTCCTCAAGCTCCGCCTTTAAAATCTGGCAATTTTATCCCTCTTCCACCCCCTCCTCCTCCCTCCTCGAGTTCCAGCTCGGGACCCCCACCGCCACCCCCTCCCCCAGGCCCGCCGTCTTTAAACAGAAATGCTGGTAAAAGTAGCGTGGTTGATGCCTCTTCATCTCCCAAATCACAATCGTTATCGCAAAATGGAAATATTCCCAATTATCTCGTTCCTAAACGCCGTTACGAGCCTGACAAAAAGCTGAAACGAGTTAATTGGACTAAGGTATATTGGTTTTTTACATTCATTTCATTTCATTTTGTTCATGGATAAGATTGCCCACCGACAAATTAGTAGAACCATAGAGAAAATTTATTAAAATCTATAAATAATATATACCAATATACTATCAAACCGTAATAGGGAATTCGTTAACTAAACTGCACATTATGTATATGACATATTGGCAGGGATCCGAACCGTTAAACCAACCTGATATTTTAATTTAAATTTAAATTCCTTTAGTAATAATGACATTTATGATTGAGTTATAATTAGTGCTGTAAACATTTTTAAAACAATCGAACGCGTTCAACGTTCATTGACAAAAATCGAACGCGTTCACGTTCAAGTTCATATTCAAAAAAAGGAACGCGTTCACGTTCAACCGTTCAAAATTTTTTTAAATTAAATTTAATATAAATAAATTTATTATTTTTTAATACAATATATTTTAGCCATGTTAAAAAATAATATAGTTTTATTTTGATAATATAATTATAAATAAAATATAATAATATAATATAACGAATAAAAAGATATTTTTATTTATAAAAATTATTTATTATTAAATTTTAATAACAATTGTTTTCAAAATATTTATCTAATATGGCATTAGCCTAAAAACACGCTCTACAGGGGCAGATAAGGGGATTGCGGTATTATACTAAATAAACAGCTCTTTTAACGTGGAGAATTAATTAAAATATTGTTTTGTTATTTGCAAAAAATTGAGATAAGTTATCCTCCTCCAATCCATTCTCTACTCTCGACAAAAAAAGGATATCTTGAAATTAACAGTTCTGAGCGACATTCCAAACATCATTTCAGCAAGGGATTTACCGATAGCTGCATTCGGAGTATCTCGGTCATTAATTAAAACATTCGCTAAATTTAGCTGGTCCGGAGTCTCACATCTTCTTCCAGCATAGAAACGCGTCTTAATCATACGTATATTAAGATATTTGTATAATTGTAAATACAAATATTAATAATTGTAAATACAAATATTAATAATTTAATTGAGATTTTATAATATTATAAAATTTTCAATTAAGTTAAATGTTAATAAATTTTAAACAACTTAATTCATTTACGCCATTTTAAAATTTTTTAAATTTATTCTCAAAGATTCCTATTGGAGTGTTAATACTTTTTAAACAATTATATTCATTTACGCCATTGATTTTTAATTTTTAATTTATTCTCAATCAATTAGAGGAAAATAAAAGTGTACAAGTCAAAGTAAAAATTATTATATTGAATAATATTAATTTAAAGAATTACGTCTAAATAAAATTTTTAAAATTGAGACATGACTGCTCTGTATCAACTATATTTTCCTATAAATAAAATAAAAAATTTATTTTTATACCAAATTTATGTCTAGTTTTTTAATTATGATTTAAATATAAATTTTTTTTATCAATTCAAATATTCTTAAACCCGAGATAAACCCGGAACCAAACCCGGGTTCAAAAATAATTCCCTGAACCGAACCCGAACTGAACCCATCTATTTTTTTTAACCTTAAACCAAACCCGGGTAAAAATTTTGTCGGTTTCGCATCCCTGCTATTTATCAAAGGCGAGTTAATTTATCATAGTGATATCTTAACTCAGGTATTTAATAAGAGTTAATGTAACAACTGGTACTAACCGTCAAAATTTTTGTCACTTGAACCTCAAAAAAGGTATATGAACTGTAATTCGAACCTTTTGAAATATCATTGTTTTAAAGAATTGATTGAGTATCAATTAGTAGCCATTTTTTAATATTTTTGTATATTGCTATTTGATGGTGCTAGACACCTAACTTAACGTACAGAAGTGTTTTCAACCATTAAATTAGTTCTCTTTTATAAATATAATTTTTAGAAGATAACCTTGAAGATATTTAATTGTTTACAGGTTAATATTTTATTGGGAGAATATATTATCATTAATAAATACTGTTCTATTATAATTTATGAATTAAGAATATTTGTATCTGCATTAAGAATGAAATAACTGTTAGTTGCTTTTATGGATATTGGTATTAAATTCATAATCCTTATAAGCTTATAAGTGAAAGGGTTTGAACTGGGTTTAAAGGTTCAAACCGAACCGATATTAAATTTTTACGAACCGAACCTGAGCACCCTATGTCATTATTTTATATGAACCTAACCAATATACATTATGCTCTGGCATTAGTCAAAATATGTGAATAATATCAGGCCAAATGGAATCAAGTTATTAAGCAGCGATTTTTTAATTATTCACTAAGTATATTATTAAAAAACGAATTTAAAACAAGGGTCATATAAAAAACAATTATCGATTACAAAAATATAGTGCATATATATATATAATTTTAGAGAAAAAAAAACTAAAAAGGTTAAATTTATAAAAAAACATTTGAGAGATAGGCTTACTTGCATTGCTATATGATGAATAGCAATGTAATTAAATTGATAAATAGCAATCGTAATGGCTTGTTTGAAATAGAAGGCTTCATTACTATCGCCACTTATTTGGCTTAATTTTCTCCTTTAATGTGATAAATTTAAGAAATTCCTCACAACACCAAGAGGTTGTGACAAGTTTGATAAAAATTACCTTCGGTATCTACATATTTGTTTATTTTCAATATTTCAGCTGAACTAATTGCTGAGGCATTTTTGTTTGCATATGTAATCACAAGCTATTGGAAGGTCAAGGTATTAGTTTGATATCATTGGATCTTCTTTTGTTGTTTGAGTATAAAGGATTTGGCTCTATTGTATTTGGGATAATGGCCCTTTTAAGAGCTTTTGAGATTAAATTATTTGTTTGTTTGCCCGTGGCAGGCGGCCTCTGGAATATCTACAATGTAAAGGATGATGTCCCTTGGAATCACATGGTAAAGAACAATTATTATATTTAGAAAGAAGTGGTATATCGAGCCAAGTCGAAACGAAATGGCTGTACGAAATTATTCATTAGTGAGAAGAAGGCCGAAATTTTTGCTTGGAATAGCCGACAACCATTCGTAGCCCTATTTAGAATTCAGAATAGCTTGGCTGAGACATTGTTCTAATGAATCACTCGATAAGAGATGATCAACGGAATGAGACACTAGGGGAAAAGATATTATATTAAATTATTATAGGTCTAACCATTTGTTTGATTTCTAACTTACGCATAGACTAGTTCAGATATAAATAATAGTTTGTAAAAAATCTTTTGAATTAAATATTTTTCCATACTACCTTTCTATTAAAAACAAAAATCACAGATCGCCCCCCAAAAGTTAACTCAAGACTCCTTCTGGTCAAATATCAAAGAAGACGAGCTCGCAGATCCTGATCTCTTCAAACAAATTACTCACAAATTTGCCGTTGGAAATAACATAACCACCGGACGACGTTTTATTTTTATCATTTTTCTTTGACAAATTTTTTTTATGAAATAGTAGCAGGGTTGGCAAGTCGGTCAATTGACCAGTCAAATACGGTCAAATTGATCACAATGTTTGCTTATTTTTTGGGTCAACAATATCAAGAGGAGAATCTCACTAGTAGTGAATTTAATGAAGTATGTGATATAATTCTAGAATTAGCTATTTTACAAGATAGTGATGACCAAAATATTTTAAGTGATATAATTAATTTTCAAAAGCAAAAACAGCATGTTTAATATAGCGAATTAGGAAAGTAGTAATTTCCAAAAAATCAATTCCGACCTCAAGTTAAAAGATTAAACTTTGCCCACCATGCTCATTGAGAGATTAATAATTCCTAGTTCTACTTCTTCTTTTGAAAGAAATAGGTCGATTTGGGTTAATATTTTTATAAAAATAGAAATCGATTGAAGATCTAAGACATCAGGAAAATTGATTAAAAAATATTAAAGAAAATAATAATATTGAATATGAATCAAAACAAGAATCTGCTACGGATAGCTAAATGTTAGTTATTTAATGACAATGAATTTAAAAAAATAATAATATTTATTTTACTATTATATTCATATATTATCTTAAAAAAACATATATTTGAAGACCATATTTGACTGGTCAAATATCTATCAATTGACCGAAACGTATTTGACCGGTCAAATGCACAACCCTGGATAGTAGTATACAATATAGTCAGAAAACAAACTTGTTATTATTAAAGATTATTTTGGTCTGGCTAAAGGCTCGATCGGGCTTGATTTCGCAATTGAAATTAAGGATCTGCCGGTTTGGCTGGCCCGATTAGCTCGAACCCAGAGGCTTATTTTCCATCATAGATTATTTATTTATTTTTATAAAAATTAAGGCAACAAAAATAATTTAGAAAATTCTTTATCTTCGTCCTCTTTATCATCAGCGCAGGGCTGTAACGATCGATCAAAAGAAAATAGTAATAATAAAGTTAAACAACTGAGAGTTCTAGACCCAAAATCTGCTCAAAATTTATGTAAATTTATTTATAATTTTATAAATATGTGCTCCTATCATGAAATAGAGGTTACGGTTCGTAGGCTAAAATTTATAAAAAGTTATAGTTCGGTTATAAAAAGTTTTATTCGGATTTTGATATCTTTTTTTACGAAATTTGAATTCTTTTTTTGTGTTTATAAAATAAGCCTAAATGTTTATTAATATAAGATTTGAGGAGGGTATATTTTAGCCATAAAATTCTTAAGAAAGCGTTAAATGTCTCTATTTTGAGTTAATCGTCTTAAATTAAGGGTTTTTTTCAAAATTTCTGTTCACTATATTTGATATCTTATCTAACACTTTTTTAGAAATTTGTTTATAAATCCTATATCATTTTATAGTGGCCTATACTATATTTAAATTTGATAAGCCATATGCTTAGGATCGATCAAGCTACCTTACGAAAGTATACGTGATTTGATATGGTCTATGAACTCAGACCAGGCTTCCCCTTTGTCTGAAGAGATTTTGCAACAACTCTTAAAATATATGCCCGAACAATTTCAAATCGACCTGCTATCCCAAAAATATTCTCACGTCTACGAAAGCCTCAATGAGGCCGAGAGATTTTTAATAACGGTTTTATAAAATTGTATTTTATGTGCTTCTCGATTGTTAATAAAGTGTTAATAAATCCACAGAATGCTCCTCTTTCTTTCTTTCTTTCTTTCTTTCTTTCTTTCTTTCTTTCTTTCTTTCTTTCTTTCTTTCTTTCTTTCTTTCTTTCTTTCTTTCTTTCTTTCTTTCTTTCTTTCTTTCTTTCTTTCTTTCTTTCTTTCTTTCTTTCTTTCTTCTATATTTTTGATGTTCACGATAGCACAATTTAATTAAGATCCCCTCATAAATTGGCATCAGATAGGTAAAGACAATACTTAGCTGTCTTATTCCTATCTTGTGTTGCACTCTTTACTGCAAAATATTCGTAATTTGCCCTGCTACTTATAACCGATTAAATATGGAGTATTCTATGACTTTAACGGAGTGGTTAAAGTATGCATGTATCTTTAGCAACAGGGTCGCGTTTAGATGTCTGCAAAATGATTTTTTCGCAGCCGAGCCCAACCGGAGACCGAATTTAAAAATAATTTTTGTCCTAGCCTTAACACACATTTTTAGATCTAACATGACCTGAGCTCGACTAAAAAATATTTATAATTTGAGTTTAAATATTATATATCCAAGAAACATATTATGTTTATTTATTCACATATTGCCACCTTAAATAAAAGTATATTTAACTTGCATATTCTAATCAATATTCATATAAAGTTGCATTTTATTTTATGTATATATATAAATTTTATTCAGTTTAAATATAAAAAATAAAGTTGAAATAAAATCGAATTTAAAAATTGTTAATATTATATAAAAATAATTCGCATGATTGATATCTAAAAAAGATGATATAATTGTTTATATAGAGAAACATTTCTAAAAAAATATAATAATGAACATATTAAAATGACTTTTCAATATCAGTTATATCGATTGACATTTTAGTGAAATAAAAGATATTTGTATTTTTAATATTTAATTATTGGGCTTCGGATCGGACACATTTTACAGGCCGACCTAAGCCCGAAGAAAAAAATTTCCAATATCCGACTCGGGAAGGATCGGGCTTCAGACAGCCCATGCAGAATTTTAGTTGCGTTATAGGCGAACTTTTACGTGCTTTAAATTTATTATGTAAATAATGTATACTATTTATTAGTTAATTTGAAAAGACATGTTAACTTAAAGTACCCACCCAGCCTAAAGCTCATAAATCTATGTAGATTAAACACACTAACATTGGCAGTAAATACTGTAATAAATATGAACAAAATTCAATACGGGATAACCTCTCCATAAAAATATTTGAATTTGAAAAATACAGAAACATAATAAGATAAATTCATCGATAATTATTTGGCCATCTACAACCACTGACGTTTGGTTAGGAATGAATGGCATATCCTGATCACTGCCCACTTTATAAAAGATTTTAAATTGATAAATGTAGATATAGAAGAAATAATCAACACGGTATCAGCAAATTTTTCAAATAGAAACGTTCTTTTTATCTAGTTTTAATATTATATTTTTCAACACCGTAAAGAGGAAATAAAGATATAAATTTCAGCACCCATCAAACTTCGAATGACTATTTTAAAATGAGTCGTTATTTTACTATATTTGAAGATTTTCTTATATAAAGGCGTTATTTATAAAACACTCCCTACCTACCAACGCACTTAATATGAACGGGGATGTCTCAGTAAAGAAAACTATGAGATATTAATAAAAAGCTAACCATAATATTTTATAATTTAATATATAAATAAAAAATGTATGATTCAATTCATATTAGAGTTTTAGCAATAGATTTTCAATTATAGCATTATGCACATTTTACGTGATTATAATTGAAAAAATCTAGCTTGGAAAAAATTGTTTCTCTATATAAATATATTTGAAAAAGTATCTTTAATAACTCTGTATTTTCATCAGAATCGTTTGAAGCATTTAAGGTTAAAATTGATTAAAAATTTAAATTTTACAAACGTATACTTTTTTTAAAAACTTAGATTTCTCCTATCAAAAGAATCGCTTCCCGTTTAAAATGTATTTGCTTTAAAATGAAATATAGCGAAATGGTCAATGATATAAAACCGGTAACAAATATATTGATTCTATCATATTTAACAATATTGGCATCATCATACATTCTGATTATATAATCACTTAATTGCAAAGAGTTAATCATTATATATTTTTTAATTAAATTAACAAATAAAAAAATCTTTGTTTAAAAAAAGGCCATAGTGGCTGTATCCACATCTTGTGAACAAATCAAAAAGAGCAAAAAATTTTCAAAAATTCTTCAGCTCATCCTTTTAATAGGAAACTACATGAATTCTGGCTCTAACAATGCTCAAACATATGGTTTCGAAATGAATTTTTTAACGAAGGTATTCAAAGCACATAAATTGCCCTTATTTCTCATATTATTCTAGACCAAAAGGCTTGTGAATAAGATATAATTTAGATTTTTCAGAGCACACTATGTAATGAATACTCAATTATAGATTTGTTTTATATTTTATCCAAAATTAAGATTCAAAGCACCAAAAGCGAGGACCAATCAACTACATTGCTACAATTTTTGATCCAAATTATTGATAACCATTTCCCAGAATATAAGGATTTTTATTTGGAAATATCATATGTAGAAAAAGCAACCAAAGGTTATATTATTTTTTATGCATAAAAATGAAGCTCGTGAGATTTGAGCCTATATTTTTGACTTCATCCACCGATTCAAGTCAAGATTTTAAGTTAAGCCGAAAGCCTGATAGGCCAAAAAAATAAAATTAACCTTAAGGTGCGGGCCAACTTTTCTACCTTAGAATTTAAGCCTTTGAGGTCGGCTCGAGGTATGAGATACTTTTAAATACATTTAGATTTGTGATGTTCGAATAGTAATAAATTAAACGTGAACATCTAGTTTTATATAAAGGATATTTCCTTGATTTTTTTTATACAATCATATATATTAAATTTTTAATAAAATATATTCTTTCATTTGATTTTTATTTTTAAATTTAATAAAATAAAATTTTGTTAATTGGCGTTAAAATATGAGTAATATATTTTATTAATTTTTAAATTTTTTATTTATTTATTCGCAATATTTTAAAATACATTTTAACCAATCTTTAAAAAAAAATATTTTAAAAATTATGTACATGACAATTAGAGATGTACCGATATTTTTTATCAGATCGGGTAGGGCTATTTTTTTTAAATATCGGTTATCGGCTGATATTATACAATTTCCCGATCCGATAAAGTGGCGTCTTAATTTTTAGTAATTGCATATAAAAAAAGTTATATCTAAAAAAACCTTTTATTTTTATAAATAAAATCGATTCATTTTTATGTTTCTTTTTTAAAAATAATGGATAATTAATTAATAAACATTCTATATTGTTGTTTTTTTGCGCATTCTGTTGATAAAAGTGTGCGATAATTTTAAAATAATTTTTTGTTTTATACATTAGTAATGTATAAATATTTAATTTGTGGGAATCTTATGATGATACTGATAAAGCAAATGAGGAGTTTAATTTAAATAACATTATCACTGAAAATTATCCGTTCCTTTGAAATTGAAAATTATTTCAATAAACTATTATTTAAAGCAATAAATGATAATAGTATCTTATTAGAATTTGTTTTTAGTGAAGCCAGTGATATTGATAGTCCGCATCGACCAAGCTGACCTCTGATAAACTATAAATTTGGGTATTTTTGAAAAGAAAATCTAGATATATTAATTTAAATATTTAGTTCAAATTTTATAATATGTTTATTTAGTACTTATTATGTAAATAGAATAATGTTATTATATACATAAACAAGGATTATAAATAAAAAAATATTTTATATACTTTTAGATTCATGAATATAAACTATAACTGATCATTGTAATATATTTAAATGCGGTGTAGTTAAGTTATTTATGTCATACTTATGAGATGAGTAGATCAAGGCATTAAAAATTAAAACGATTAGTAGGTTTGCCGAATCAGATGTGATATTGGATCGGTTATCGGCCGATATTTAATATCAGTTAAGACCAGCTTCCAAAAAGTGGTATCGGTACTGACAATATCATATTTTAAAATTATATTTTATTAAATGTATCATATAATGTTTAATTACACTGTGTGACAAATTTCGACTTGATTTTTTGGGAAAAAATAAAATAAACATGTTTTAAGACAGTTTTTTATGCATATTCTAAATCCGCTTTTTTCTAAGCACGTCAGGTTTTTATTTATTTTAAGTTAAAGTGTCCAAAAAGGTCATTTTTAGCACTTTTTGAAGGTTTATAACTTCTGTTCTAATGATCCCTACAACTAAAAAAATATCTTAATTTTTGCAGCAAACCTTCCTTATTATTATTATACATTTTTTTTTATAAAATCTTTACTCAATTTTTAAACAACCTATATTTTTTAAATTTACTTTTATTTATAAAATCTTTTTTAATATAGCTTACATTTAATATATTTATTTATTGTGGCTTTCTTTCTCTTCGCTACACTGCACACGGTACGATTCCCAAACAATTTATTTTAAATGAAATAGTTATATTTCTTATATTTAAATAAATATATTATGCTAAGCTAACCTATCTCATATTTTACTTTTAATAAACCTTTTATCGGTCCGTTGTCCCACCCTCTCCTTCATTATTTTATAGGATTTAACTTGTAATATACAATAAATTTATTGAATTTAAAACAAATTAAACAATAACATAAAATTTAACGAATTTAAAAACATTTAATGGTAAATCTAAATATATTTCTGCGAATATGAAGTTGATGATTTATCTTCAAAAAAGATACTCCAGCAGTAGTCCGCCAACATATTTATACGATTCTTGCCGTGATAAAACTTTTCGAGATTTTCTATCTTTTGATGGAACCGCTCCCTCATTTCTTCTGACACAGCACCTAAGTTTTCAGGAAAAAAATCTTTATGGGAATGAAGAAAATGGATTTTGAGGCGGTATCCCATTTCCTTATAATTTGTTAATAGGTAGGTCATCAATTTTCTCACGATAGTCGGCTGATATATGATTCCCAAGGAACGATCTGCATATCCATTTAAAAGATTCCCATGCTTTTAATTCAATGAGTAACAATTCATCTTCAAAAAAACTGTCCTTCATGAGTTTTCTTATTTTGGGGCCCACTAAAATCCTCTCTTTTATTTTTGCTTGGGAAAGCTTGGGGAAAAAATTTCTAAGGTATATCGTGGGGCCCTCGCAATTTTTTGATAAAATTTTTGATTAGTCCTAATTTTATGTGCAACGGAGGCAACAAAATCTTATTTTTAGAAACCAGCGGGATATTTACTCGATTTTTTTCAAGAACGTTGGGACGATCCTCCCATTCAGATACTGTATAATGTTTTAGAGTTTCTCTGGAATTCCAGAAACAAAGAAAACACGAATGCTTGGTGTAGCCTAAGTGAAGGCCCATCAGGATTGCGATCATTTTGAGATCGCAGCATATCTTAAATTCGTAAATGGAATAATTTATTTTTGACAATAAATATTTCATATTTTCATATGATTCATTTAACTGGTTGGAATAGGCGATGGGAATTGATGGCTTAGAATTTCCGTTATAAAGCAAAACTGCTTTCAAGCTGTTTTTGCTTGAATCGATAAACAAGCGCCATTCATCGGGCACCAATTCAATATTAAGTTGTAAAAAAAGTTGACCTAGATTGTTGGAATAGTATAAAAAATTTTCGTAAGAGGATAAATTTTTAAACGATGCTCCACGGAATCGGTATGAAGTTCGAACTCCATTTTTTTAAATTTTAAAATCATTAAGCCTTGAGGCTAAAAATTCGGACTTTCTTTTTGAAAGTTATAAATTTCTGGTTATGTCATTTAGTTGCTCTTGTGACATAAATGGCGAATCCTCTTCGGGATGATACTCAAGATCAATATTGTCATTGTCCTGGCAACGTAATTTTTCCAGCTGCGAACTATTAAAAAAAGGAACTGTTATATGCATATTATATTTTACCGGATAAACAACCGACGAAATAACGAATTTTCTTCTGATTTTTTTGTTAAACCCAAAAGTACTAATCGAGCAAAAATAACAATCCCACGAAGGGGTTCTTGCTACCCAAAATGCAGGTTTCGAATAAGGCAAATATGACCGTTTTCCATTTACCCATGAATTAAAAGAATTATAACATATGTAATTAGGGGTAAATGGTTTATCCAAATCGCAGAGTGGAATATTGTAATAAATTTCATGAATCCTTTGAATGATTGGAGAAATTGGACATTTTTGTGCGGGATATAGCCCGTACAGATGTAACAAATTTAGAGACACACTTTAAACAAGGGGACCTCGGCATTAATTTTTTGTAGAGTATTATATAAGGAGGGAATTTGAATAATATTTAAAATCCAATTTTAAAAAAAAATTAATGAAAGAAATTAAATGTTTATGAAAAATTAAGCGCGAAAAAAAATAATTATTCTCCTTTCTTCCTACTCGTTATTTGGCATTATTATTTATTGCCTATACTACGGGTTCAAGGTACTCCATTGGAAAATCATATATTTTGATATAAATTGATTAAAAAAACAAATATTCTTAAATACATCTAAAAAAGATAAATACTAATAAAAAATTTAAAAAAATTACCATTTATTGCATTTTAAATGAATGCTTCAAAAATGCTCAATTCAAAAAGAGTACAAATTAAAAAAAGTGGGTACAGATATCTGATTTTGGTATAAATTGATCATAAATGCACAAAATATTACTAAATACAACTAAAAAAGATAAATATTACCTTAATTTTGCTTTAAAAATGCTTTATGCAGAGAAAATTCAATAAAAGTGTACAAATTAAAAAGTTCGAAAATATCTGTACCGACTTTTTTAATTTATAGATTTTAGTTGAATTTTCATGGCATAGAGTACTTTTGAAACATAATTAGAATTAATATATAATCTTGAGCATATTTGAAGCAAAATTATATAAAATTTATCTTCTAAAGTTAATAATTTTGATAGTAATTTAAATTGAAAACTTAAGACTCCCAAAACAAAATTCTTTACCATTTTTCTCAAAAACTAATCTATAAAAAATTAGTAAATTTATAAAGAAATATAAGTTTAACACTATCACCGATTTTTAGGGATTTTTATTCGATACTTTTTAAAATATATCATATAAAGACCTAAATTTTACCATTTTTGAGATTTCGAAAAGTTGTCTTTATACGGTAATATTTTTAAAACATGACGTGTAGGGAAAATTTGGAAAACGGATTCGATCTCAGCGTCAAATTCTGCACCTAAACTTGTTTTTATTTTCTTCTCCCATTTTTCTTGTCACACCTTTCTTTCTTTCTAACTCGTCGTCAAAATACGTATAAAATGACAATTATCACCTTCAAAAATATTTTTCACATAAAATATTCCAAAACTTGTTTAATTAGCATCTTCAAAAAAATAAATTAAAAATGCAGATTATGCCATCAAAAATATTGGCTTAAACCTCGTGATCAAACTAAATATACCGGCATGAAGCTTGAGCTTAGGTCATAAAAATGGTCTTTAACGTAAGGTTGAAGCCAAAAAAACCGGCTTATAACATGGCGATTCTTTCGTTTCTTGGAGTTGGTTGAGTAAGGTGATTCATCACTACTGGTTGCTACTACATGACGAATACATTCACTATCCATTTTATTTTCATTTTTTTTATATAAATCATATCTGATATTATATAGTATGCCAGGAAAACATGTCAAAAACTTTGAACCAAATGAATTCCTCGCTAAAATTGCTTCAGATTGAAATTAGCAATTGCGCGATAGATGTGTCTTACGATAATATCCATGATAAATTTTTAGAAAATATGAAGATATCCTTTTATTAAACTATTTATTTAATAGAATTATATATTAGACTTTATGCATCAAACTTTTACCCTTCATAGGAGTAGTATATTAGTATTTAAATGACGATATATATAATCTCCTATAATTATTTTATCCCACGATTATGAATAAATCCTTAACTCGATTTTAAATTGCGTTTATGATTAAACGAGTTTTATGGTAAGGCCGACGAAAATTATGATATAATAAAAGGTATGTTCGAAAAAATGGAAGCCGCTTATCAAGATATAGGTATATACTTTTGCTTCGATCCTAAAAAGTGTCCTTTCGAAGATTTCTTTGCCGATATTCGTTGCTTTGTCGAAAATTTCAGAGTAATTTTAATGTATTAAATAAAATTTTTAAAGATAATTTCATTATATCTAATATTGATGAATTTGATTTTGAAAGTTCTCTGGGTATATTTTAAATGATTAAAAAGATCAATAATATTAACTCACATCGCTAGCTCCAATTATTTAGATATTCTCGGAAAATCTATGATTTAAGTGTGAATATACTCACCCCCTTTCTTTTTTTAATCGTTTTTTTCTTTAAATTTTGGGTGCAACAATTAGAAATCTCAGAATGAAAATAACAAGGTAAAAGATGCCGAAGAAAAGGCCAGGAGAACAAAAGAAATCAAAGAAAAAGCAGAAACGGAAAAAAAAGAGAAGAATAAAAGGAAGGTTCTGGTTGACATGAATTCGGGTACTATTTTTATTAACAATTATACTATACTAGGTTTCCATCATTAAAATTATGCGGATTTTTTAAAAAAATTAATTTTCATCAATCTTAACGTAACAGATGGCGAGCATGAAGGTGTTATGGATAGTTTATTAGAAGCGTTACAAAGTGGAAGTGCTTTTCATAAACCTACAAGGAGGCGTCTATCTCGAGGTAATTTATATAAATTTAATTATCGAATTTTTAAATAATAACTCCAGTCTCCATTTTAAGAATGGTCTATAAGCACGTTCATAATCGGCTATATATATTTTTTTAAATCTTCCATTCATTTATTTTTTACAAAAGTATAAGATAAATTTAATGCGGTTTCAAAATCAAAAAATATCCGTCCTAATGGCCAATACGACGTTTGTAATATCACAAAATATTATCTATTTATTAATATCGCTTTAATTTTAATTATATGGTCTATAAAGTAGTCTTATATTTTAATATTATGTTGATATATATTATTTATCAAAATAAATATTGGGATATAGATTTTTATTTGTCCTATGATTTCGTATTTTTATATTTGACATTTGAAACTTATAATATCTTAAATAATTCACGAAAATTTTATAATTTGTAAAGTATAAAGAAATCTGTAGAAGATATAAGAACATTCGGATTCAATTTTAAATATGATTTAATTATATATTTAATTTAGAGTATTGGCTTGTGTATATATTTTTATATTTATAAAATTTACATGCACATATACTTCTTATCAACCAATTTTCAGATAGTAAAAATAATATAATGTAGATTTATTAGTAAAAAAAAAAATAACATTTAAAATAATTAATAATATAGGATTTTTTGTTGTTTTCAAATAGAAACTCATGAGAGCAGAACACGTGTAAATTTTTTAAGTTATCCCGTTCCAATTTGAACATCATAGATAAAAATAATTTAAAAATGCCAATACCTCTATTTTTTACCGTTCTTTGGAGTAAAATATTCAATTTAAACGAGCATTTTTTGAAAAAAATTTAACACCTCCCAACAGGGGTTCGAACCGAACCGCAAAACCGGAATGAACCGTTATGATTTTCTGAACCGTAACCGAACCGTTATAAAGAAAATATTAAAAGAGCGAACCGAACCGTTATAAATATTTTAAACCGGTTCAAAACGGTTTTAAAAATAATTAATTTTAAATTATTAACCTAAATTTAAAATTTTAATTTTCCTTGGGGGCATTTTTTGAATTAGTGATTTATTTTCAAATTAAATATTTCTATATTATCAACATTATATATCTAAATATTTTTATATTTATTTTATTTAAATAAAATTTTCCACGAATTTCTTTATTCAAAATATATTTCAATTTTCACAATCAAATCTCATAATGATATCTCATAATGATAATGATATAATTTTTTTGTTTCACGATTTAATAATAATTTTTTTATAATAATAATCTTTTTTTCTTATGATTGACATCTTTTAATCATTTTATAATATTCAAATTAATATATATTTTATACACTAAATATCTATATTAAAATATATATATAAATATATCACACGTCCGCCTTTCAAAAGACCTAAACGTGTAAAAATATATGAAAAAAATTTTTTTTTTAACAATTCTCTTTATCATCTTTTAATATATCCTCCTCTTCATCCATGTCCATTTGATTAAATGTCTTGTGTACACCCTCATTATGAATCACTTTGGTTATCGTAGATTCTAGCTTTATCATGTTTTTACCATTTGAAGCTGCCATCTTCCCATCAGATTTGAATTTATATCCCAACTCTGTATTTGAGAATCCTGATGTCTTATTTCTGATTTCTTTGATCCTTTTATACGTTCCCTCATATTTAATAGGAGGCCACTGCCTATTCCCATATTTTCTTTGACGAGATTCTATCTCATTAATCTTGTTATAATTACTATAAGCATCCTCCGGCTTTATCTTGTAATTTTTTTCCCACAAGCTACTAGTCCCAGGATTCTCATCTATTTCACTAAGATGTCCCTCCCTATCGTGACTTCGTAGAATATGTACAGGAATACTACAATCTTTTATGAAGTGGCCATAGGATTGACACCTAAAACATCTTTTATAAATATTCGCTTTATCCTTTTTAATGAGTAATTTCTTCTTTTTAACTATTTTCACATAAATAGTTTGATCGGCTGTTTCAATTTTGTAATTCATTTAAAATTTAAAAATAATAATTGAAAACTTATTTATATATAAAAATATAATTAAACATAATAATTGAAAATTTATTGATATATAAAAATTATAAATTTCTTCCCTATTTATAACCATACTATCTTCTTATTTTTATTTCTCAAATACATTTGTTGCTTAATTTAATAATTTTTCTCTTTTTTATCTCCTCAATCATTTATGTATTACCCCTATACATAAAAACAACATTTTTCTTTTAAAAACACCACTCATGTTTATTTCATAAAATTTTTTTTAATTAACACATACAATATTTATCATTACTCTGAAGCCATTTCAAAAAAAAATTTTTTACTTAAATACCACTCGTGTTTATTTCATAAAAATTTTTTTTTAATTAACACATACAATATTTATCATTACCATTAAGCCATTACTCAAAAACTATTTTCCCTAAAACAACACTTGTTTTTATTTCTTTTAAAAAAATATTTTACTCTTCAAATTTCTTTTCAATATGAAACACGTAAAACATGTTATTTAAAGATATTTATAATGTCTCCTTTTTTTTTATTATCACTACCCCATGATATTAAAATTTTGATGTCCTAAAAAAATTCTAGGAACTAAAAATTCCGTTTTTTATGGACAATTATGTTCCCAAAACCAAAATTATAAGAATCACGATTATGTATATTTAATACTAATTTATTTAATTATACAATTATTTCATCCTAAATTCTGTCCTAAAAAAAAATTCTAGGAACTAAAAATTCCGTTTTTTTTATGGACGAATTTCTTATAAGCTTTACTCCTAAATTATTTACCCTCTTTATTATAAAATTTAATAAAGTCATTATGACGTACTCCCACAGTACCATCATCAAATCTTATATTACATAATTTATTCCCTATATTCTCAATAACACAACCTTTCTCCCATTTTTTTTATGGTCAAAAAGTCTTCCCCAAATAATTTTTCCCACAGGAAATTTTATATTGTTTTTCTCATAAGAAACGATATTTTCACTTTCTTTTGACTTAAGAAAATCTAAAGGTAATCTGGTTCTTCTACCCAAAAATAATTCAACAGGAGTAACTCCCTCCCTATTCCTTGAATTATTATAATATAATTGTGCTAACCAGACATCATTTTTTTCTTGTTTAGCCTTTTTTATCCAATTTTTTACAATAGCTACCGTCCTTTCAGCCTGGCCATTAGAGCTAGGATGATAAGGTGGAGTCAAAATATGTTTAATTTTAATTGAATTACAAAATTGCTTAAAATTTTCACTTATAAATGCCGGACCACCATCCGACACTATTATTTTAGGAATCCCAAATTTATCCCACAATTTTTTTAATACTTTAATAACAACTTTAGTTGTTAAACCTTGAACCTCTTCAAATTCAATCCATTTGGAATATGAATCCACAACTAAAAAATATGATCTTTTATCCAATTCAAAAAAATCAATGTGGAGACGATCCCATGGTTTCTATGATTTCGGCCATACTTGTCCCATCTCTTTACGGGACATAACGGCACAGGTATTACATGGAACACATTCCTTTGTAATTTTTTCTATATCATTACCCATTCCAGGCCACCACACATATTCACGAGCCCAAGATTTCATTTTAACTTGACCCTGGTGTCCTGCATGTAACAAATTAATTATTTTAGCACGTAATTTCAAAGGAATTACTGCCCTATTTCCTCTCATTAAACAATCATCCACCACAGATAATTGTTTTTCAAATCTTTGATAAACTTTATAATTATTTTTCCATGGTTTTCTTCCCGTTAAAAATAATTTTATTTGTTTTAATACTTTATCTTTTAAAGTATAAGATCTGAGATCTTCCCACGTTGTAGGACCTCCTTTTAACATATATGATAAAGTTCTCACTAAAGCATCTTCTCTATCTATAATCATATTATCAATTATTTCAGGAGTAGCACAACCTGCTCCTAATCTTGATAATATATCAGGCAAATGATTTTCTCTTCCTCGCCTATATTTTATTTCAACATTAAAACTTCCCACAAGTAACAACCACCGTTGTAATCTTGGGGACATCATTAATTCCTTGTTATCTTTCTTAAACAAATGAATTAATGGTTTATGATCGGTATAAATCACAAATCTTTTACCGATCAAATATTCGCGACATTTGGTCAACCCAAAAATAATCGCTAAGGCCTCCTGTTCTATAACAGAGTACCTCGTTTCAACTTCATGAGATATTCTCGAAAAAAAAATAATTGGTCTCTCTAAACCATCAATGACATGTAATAAGGCCCCTCCTACACCTTTATTGGATGCATCAACTGCAAGAATTATCTCCAAATAATTGTTAAAACACACTAAAATTGGTTCCTCACCAATTTTTCTATTTAAATTTTCAAAAGCATTTCTTTGTTCAATTTTCAATTCAAAATTAACACCTTTTTTTAATAAGTCATATAGTGGAGCTGCAATTTTTGCAAAATTATCCACAAATCTATGATAATAATTTATCATGCCCATAAAAGACTGCACTTCAGCTTTATTACTAGGCTGATTTATGTTTAAAATATTTTTTAAATTTTTATCAAGCGGCTTCACTTCAATTCCATTAATTTTTTGACCCAAATACACTATTTCGGTGACACCAAGAATGCTTTTCTCTTTACTAGCTTTTAAACCTTTATCTTGAATTCTCTTGAAAACCTCTTCAAGACGTTGATTATGTTGTTCTGGCGTCACTCCAGTTATCAACACATCATCCATATAATAAAATACGCCTTCCAAACCCTGGAAAACTGATGCCATTGTTCTCTGAAAAATCGGTGCAGATACACTTAATCCAAAAGGTAATCTACAAAATGCAAATAATCCTTTAGGCGTTGTTATTGTCAACAATTTATGAATTTCTTCTTTCAAAGGCAATTGTAAATATGCTGATGAAAAGTCAACTTTTGAAAAATATTTGGCTCCCTTTAAATTTGCCAAAATTTCTTCAATTCGAGGTAATGGATATTTCACTTCCACAACCCATTTGTTAAATGTTACTCGAAAATCTGCACATAATCTAAGTTTTCCATTCGATTTTTTAACAGGTACTAATGGAGTAGCCCATTCACTATATTCCACAGGAATAATAATACCATCATTAACCCATTTATCTAATTCTTCATTGATTTCCTTTTTCCACTCAAAAGGAACTCTTCGACACCCTAAGAAAATAGGTGAAAATCCCTCTTTTAATTTCAAATCTACTTGATAATCATTTAGACATCCCAATGTGTCTTCAAAAATTATACCATATTTTTCAACTAAAATAGGTATAGCATTTTTAACTCTATTAAATTCATTATTAATTTTTTTATCATTATCAATTTCACTATTGATTTCAGATGGATTTGAATACATCATGGGTTTCGCATGATATTCACAAATATTATTATTAACTATAGATTCTTTCATTTCACTCATTAATTTATTCATTTCTCTTTCTTTAAGTTTTTCTCTGACTTCATTAGCCATTATTTTTCTTTCGGCATTTTCTTTAGCCAATTCACTATCAATGATAAATAAATCCCAATAATTATTTCGAGGTCCCAATTTGGTAATCCAATCCCAACCCATAATTGTTTCAACATTTTTATTCACTATCCATAATTCTAAAATTATAGGAATATCATGGAAAATAACATCCCACTGAGTTCTACCCAAAACTTTGATTTCAGATCCATCAAATTGTTTTATACACATATTTTGTCTTTCAACAATACCATTCGGCCAATATTTATAAAAATTTTCACTAGACATTATTGAAATACTTGCCCCGGTATCAAATAACATTTCAACCATTTGTCCACCAAATTTTAAATTAATATGAGGACATGAACTCTGTTCCTTTGCTCCCTCAGTTATTAAATTTTTAGGCATTTGAATGGGCTGAATGACATTTATTTTAATCTCATTGTCAATATAATTGATATTCATACCTAAATTCATCTCAGAATTTAAAAGTCTCTGAATTTCATTTATGGTTTTATTTAAAATTTCCCCTGGATATATATCACTCATTTGATTACAATAATCCTTTTTATTCAGATTACTGTCTAATTTAAAATTCTTTATTTCATCAAAATGACAATAAAAATTCCCAACATTACAACTCTTTTTATTCGAGTTAAATTTCAATGTATAATCCTCATTCCCATGATGATTATCTATTTTAATATATATATCCACAAAATTTTTAATAAAATTATATATATCACAAATTTTAATACTCTCTAAAATTAATTTATCTATTTTAATATGATTCTCTTTCAAATCATATAGTCACTGTAATCCACTCACACTTTGAATACAATTGATAGCAATGTGTCCCATTTCTTCACATCGGAAACACATTCTGTCATGATCTGTATTGTTATTTTCAATTTTATCCACATTTTTAATCGACGGATTTTGTATACTTCTAACCACCGGATTAATCACTACCGAAGTTCTTTGCGGAAAACCACTTTTAAAATTTGCTTCTTTAACCATGCAATTTCGTTTAATATGTCCTACAAAACCACATCTATGACACACTATGTCATTTTTTTCACTTGGTTTTGCAGTCACATTTTCATTAGTTTTTCGGTCTCTTGAATAACAATTTTTACTTATATGTCCTTTTTTTCCACAAAATTCACAACTTTCAATAACATTATTATTTTTGATTTTTAAGTTGGAAACATCTCTGGATAAATTTTTCATATTTTCTCTCATTTCTCTAATTTCACTTAAAATTATAGATTCCTCAGCACTTAGTCTCAAAGTATTATCTGTTTTATTATTTTTCAAAATTTCTTCTGGCTTTTTACTTAAAACCTCAGAAATTTTCTCTTTAAATTCAATTACAATTGAATCTATTTTTTTATTGATATCCTCCGATATTTCAATGTTTTTAAGAAATTTAAATACGTCACCCGTATCTAAATCTTTATCATTTTTTTTAACACAAAATATATCAGTTCATTATTTATTGCTGGAAAAAAAGAAAAATATTAAATATATGAATGTAAATTTTGCTCAAAACAATTTTCGTTTTCAAGTAGCAACATACTAAAGGATCATAATATAAAAAACTATGTAAGAATAAATGCACGAGCAGAAAATGCTGATATTTTATTTCTAACAGCATCATGAGCATGCACCGACCTTACCATCCTGTTCACAAAATTCAATACAACTAATTTATATTTCAATGAAGGAATCTATTTAAATGATTGTGAAGATAAAAAATTTGCAATAAAATATTAATATTGTATAAAAAAGGAAAAATTTTTTAACCCTAGTGAGATCTAATATGTAACCTACTTATAGTAAAAAGGTTCATAATTAAAATCAATTTTTAAAAAAATAATGTAATTTATTTATACATCTTACAAAAAAACATTAAATAAAAATTATGTACAAACTGGTATAGTCAATGTTATAAAAGTAAATTTGATTCTACAACAGTTCATTATCTATGTAAAATTTCAACAAAATATAATAAGATAATTAGGCATTGATAATTAATTAATTTAGAATTACAAGAAATATTATTCGGTAAAATACTCTTTCTTCAAAAGCACTATAACACAGGTCATATTATCGCACCCGGTCCCATCTCCTCCGGTATTTGGAGCCAAACAATTATCAAATAACTAAATAAATTATAAAGGCAAATATAGTGTGCATATGATTTTAATAATGAAAATGATAAGTTATTTTTGTCATAAACCCTCTAATAAAGTTTTGTTTAAAACTTTTTTACGATTTGATTTCTGGTTCCAGATATCTTATAATTTATGTTTCTCAGCTTTAACCTTTCCCACTTTGCTCAAGGTGAGAAAAAATTACTATTCAAACGGAAAATATAATAAAATTTTAATTTTTTAAAAGAAAACGACAAAATAATTTTTTTTAAAAAATTAAATATCGGTCTGAAAAAACACGGAATTATGAGGCAGGCAACTCTTATTAAATAAAAAACAAAAAGGTCAACAATTTTTAAGATAAATTTGGAAAATGTAAATTTTTTGTGTATTGCCTAAATTAACCTTTACAAGAGTTTTTGGTATTGGCCCATATTATCAACAAAAATAAAACGTAAATGCAGATATCACACTTAGCATTGGGGCTTATAAAAGAGATGCGCGAAAAATGGTCAAAGGATTAAAAAAATTTCTATTTGACTATTTTTATTAGTGGATAGTGAATTATTTCCAAAATCCCAAATCTCTCGATGGTTGAGAATGGGGGCGGCAGTTAAGGCATGACTGTTAAAGCGGATTATTACAATGTGACATTGGTTTTTCCTGGCAGTATAAACAATTAAAACAGTCTCTGCTCATAGATTCGACTGGTATTTATGTTCTAGATGAAGAATGTATTGATAAAATGTAAGGGATTGATTAAAATGACCTTCTAAATCAATCGATGGCATGGAGTTATAAAACCAAAAATTATTCAACAATCTGAAAGTGATACCTTCAAAAAATGGTCATTTTTGCTAATCATATTTAAATTTTTATTAATAATAAAATAATACATTACAAACGAAAGCCAGGGAATTTTTTTAATATTAGTCAAAAAATTTGATAACTGATTTCTTTTTGGAAATACAATTAACTATTGTATAATTTATCCTTTTATACTTTATAATTATGTTATATTTTGTATATTTTTTTAATTTAGTTATTTTTAAGATTATAATTTTGATAAATATTAGAATTGATTTGTAATGAACAAATAGTGTTATGACTAACTATTATAAAAATTAAAAATAACTAGCCTATTTATTAGGTTAGAATAATATCATTTTTTACTAAATAATATAACTCAAAATCGAGAATATATCTAAGAGTAAGTTTTATTAAATTATATTATACAAAAAAATATAGCTATTGAAAATATACTTCTTCGCAGATCTTGGATGGGTTATTAATATATTTATCCTTTCGTTCATCGATAAAATCAACAACTTCTTGACTAGACATCGAGTTCCTAATTTAAGTATTATTTGGAACAATATTTTTACATGAATAATTTTATAAAAAACGTTAGTGATCTGCATCGGGCCTAATTTTTCAAGCCCAGCCTGGCAAGAAATATTTTTTAAAAAAGTTTTGCCGGCCCAAAATTTAAAAATTTATCTGCCCGGCCAGGCCCGAATTTATTTAAATATAGAAATTAATTTTTATAATTACTTAAAATAAAAGGCATATGTTATATAGCGAGTTTTAATAAATTAAATCAAAATTTTTTATTTTACATAAAAAATTCAATATAAAATTGATAAATTTAGATATATTTAATAAAATTTCCAAGGTCCAACCCAGCCCGAACCAAATTTTTTTTAAAATTTTAGGCCCGGCCCGATTATTTTAAACAGAATTAGGCCCAAGCCCGAAACCCGTTCAGGCCGGGCCTAACTTTGCAGATCTCTAATAAACTAATCTATCATTTCTATATTTTAAAAAAAGAATTATGGAATTTTTTTTAAAAAATATTAACAATTTATAAGTTAAACTAGCTGTAAACATTTATATGTTTTAATTTGAGGTGACTATGTGATTTAATTAAGCTATCATTTTATAGGTTTTAATATATTTGTTCACCTTTCATTCAAAATCTTAAAACTAGAGATGTACCAATATCGTTTTGTACTTAATATATATTTAACACTATATCATTTCACTTACCATATCCAAGTAAGTAATTTAAAATACACTATTAAATATTAATTAGCTAATATAGTACACTTATGATGTCAGCTTAAAAATTTATGATATAAAATATGTTTGTTGATTTATATATATAATCATACAAACATATTATAAAATCAGAATCAATTAAATATATTTTAAAATTAATTAGTATAAAATTTCTTTTAATAAATACAAATATTTCAGCTAAAAAATAAAATTGCAAACATCAATATGTAGAAAAATGAATATAAAAGTTTAGGCTATGTTCTTAATTATATTTTGATTTGTACATGAAAAAAATTGATAAATTTAGCATTAAACTTTTTATCCGTCATTATTCATCGGAAAACTATTAATGATCAACAGTTTAAAAAAAGGAATGCTGGAGCAAATTTATTCTAATAATAAAATAACGGTATATCCCTACTTCAAATCATCTTACCCAATTTCTCTCTAGTATCATTAGCCTATATCTCCCATTTTCCCTTATTTTATTCTACCTTCAGCTCAGTGAAACCAAAGTATTTCCAGTTTGGACCAACTTCATAAGAACTTCTGTATACCATTAAACTGATTTTGCAACTTTCCTCTTCAAACTGTGTCCAAACATCAAAAAATTTAATAAAACTTTATTGAAAACATAAAATAAGCTTTTTTAAATAAGAAAATAAAAGTATGGCCATCAAATAAAGAAACAAGTTAACGAAAAAAAAACATATTTGTGAAATTTTCAATACTACACTATTAGGATTCCAATGAGGCAAATCTAAGACCAGAGTAGTTCATATTATGTATATCCCACTAGGACAATTATTGGTGCCGTATTGTATGGGAAAAAATGGGGTAAATTCCTTAAAGTGTGTTTTTTGGAGAGTAGAATGCTAAGATTAAAAATTTTTATTGGAAAATAACAAATTTTTTAAGAGATTTTATACAACATTTTACGATTTTTAGGTTTGACGAAATCCCATTCTGGAACTGTTCCACACAATGGCATGAATGGTATATGATTAATTCATGAGATAATAATATACCATATTCCGTCACAGGCTAATACTATGAAATCATGTTTGTTCGTAATTTTAACGTGTTTAACATCGGGAAAAGCTGTGATCATTTGTTCTTTGTCGGTCAATTCCTTTTCACCTTTGTAGTTGTGATCACCTTAAAAAAAATTTAAATACAAAACAAAAATTGATTATTTAAAAATTTTAAGATGACAAAAAAGTTAATAAAAGATTTTATATTCTACCAAAAGCCCTTGATAGATTAAGACCTTCATTTACCCTCCCATCTTCCGTAACAACTCCTCCTGCGTTTTCTATTCGTTTACGCTCTAGCTATATAAATATTTTTTATATTAAAACGTTAATTTGATATGAGAATTATTTAAGTATTTTTAATAATTACTATATAAAAATACGGAATTTAACGTGGCAACATTATTTAATCATAAAACAACATAATTTAATTCAGATATAATTATAATGTTAGTTACATCATCCTCTGGTTTATGATCTAGGGACATCTCATGAGCCTTCCCTTCACAGCTTATAACACATCTTGAATCTCCTATATTAGCTACGTATAAATCATTTTTCTTAAGAAGAGCAACTACTGCTGTACATCCGGAATCATAGCCAGGCTTGTATAAATATAAATCAAAAATAAAATCATTATTTTTATTAACTTTTAATTTAAATAAATATTATTAATCGCGATATCAAATAGATTGAGAAGAGTATAACTAATTGCCAGAAAAAAAGGATTAGTTAAAATAGATTATTAGAGAGGTAATATAACGTAATTAACATCTTAAAACAAACGATATTTTAGATTTATGAAGCCTCGATGTTCTGTCATAACAAATAAACGAGCTGAAATTATGAGCAATATAAGATTTGCAATCTAATTTTAGGATAGTTTAAAATTTTTTTAAATATTCTTTAAAAAGTTTCTGAAATAAGTAGAGCGTTCGAATTATCAAAATCTAAGAATAGCGAGAAACAAAAAAATTTAAAGTCAATTATTCGATTTTCGTGAACAGAAAATAATTTATTATGAATAAAAAATAAATTATTAGATTTTAAATTTTTGAATATGTGATAATCTCATTCAGTTCGTTTTGGAAACCTAGTTATGATTACCAAACTAACTCGAATTTATCGTATCGTTAGATGATATAAATACTTTTCAGAGGCCTGCAGAAATTATATTTTCCGATTTCGGATCAATAAAAAATTGATTGAGGTCTAACCCAGGTTTCAAAATTGATCATTTTAAATCATATGTTTTATTATAAGTTGCAGTTATATAAAAAATTTTATTATCTAAATTATAAATTTTAATAAAGGCTTTAAATATATTTTCACCTGAATGTGTTTCATTTATTGGACTGACATCCAAAATTATGTTATTTATTTTAAATTATCATCAATAAAATGGGCTGTTAGCCCTAAAAAGGAACCTGTGTTGCTATGCTAGTCCAAATGTCAGATGAAAAATTAATCTGACTTTTATTTTTATATATTTTTCCTTTACCAACTGTTCTTTTTCTGCAAATATATTATACATGTACAATTTAAGAGTATTGGAGCATATTGATTTTACAGAACAATCAAAATCACTTATAAATAATCATTTGAATTAATAATTTTAAAAGGTATATTATTAATTATCAATAATTTTAATAAATTATCCTTAAAATTAATTTTTATTTGAAGAATTTGGTGCAGACTTTAAAAAAATGTCAATTTTATTATTTTTTTTACTAAAGAATGAAACCTATTATAATGATTAATAAGAGGAGATGTTGTTTTGCCTTTACATTTTATAATACTCATGCAATGATTGCAAGCAGCCTTTTCACCGTCTTTAAGGATTTGATATTGATCCCATATGATTGCTCTCTTTTGTGAGGAAATTTTCTCATCTTCAACATCAAGCATAATTTCAACAGAAGCATTCTCCTCTAACATAATTAGGCTAGCTAACAATAATTATTGTAGAGATGTAATATATTTTTATATACCTCTGGTTCATATAATTTTTAATATAATTTATTATGAGATTCAAAAAATAAACTTTTCGTGAGATTCAAAAAATGTAGCAAATAAAAATTTAAATTTTCACTAGAAATTTTTGAATTTTTATAAACACAAACACATCACCTGTCAGATTGGCAGGTCAACAAGTAGAAATGACAAATGTTAGATTTATTAAAAAATTTATTAAATAATACGAATAATTCGTTTTATTAGAATCGAATAAATGATTATTCGTATTCAGATAAAACAAATAATTTATTATTCGTATTCTTAATTATTCGATTAGATTCGAATCGAATTATTTTTGAATAGGCCTAGTAGAAAGATGAATACAAACTATCAAAAATCGGTATTTCGCAAATAGAGAACAACCGAATGATGGAGAAAAATGCCTAAGTGAAGTATTATTTACGTAGAGAATTCCGAACATTCCTCAATGGAGCGAATATCAGCAAAGCTATTTATGGGGAGAAGATTAAATACATTATTAGACAGGGTCAAACCTTCAATTACTGAAAAATTAGAAACTTCTGTAGTGAAACCTGACCAGTTAGACAAAGGCGTACATAAATATTTTGGAGAAAAGGATTTAGTTTGGATAAAAAACCCAATTGAAAAAGGATGGCATGAAGGAAAGATAATAAGCCAACAAGCTAAATCTCTTATAACGTAGAAGAAAAAGGTAAAATCGTACGTAAACACACCGAACAACTACAACCAAATGACATTATAAAGTTAGGAGATTATAAAACAGTAGAAACAATGGAACCAAGTCAAGAAGGAATTCAACCCCGATACGATATCCAACGAGGGAACAAAAGCAAACAAAAAGATTGATAGACGATCTTAACTTGGTGGGAAAGAAGATGTGTTATATTTTAATATCTTATATATTTTAAAGGTTATGTTATTTAAATATTATATTATTATAACTTTCCTACATATTATTATATTATGGAGGCCAATATAATTGCATAATATTAAAAGTTAAATTACATAATTATAAAACACTATATATAAAATAAAGATACCGATTGTTTTGACTATAAAACAAACAACAGCACATTTCCGTCAAGATCTCAATCCACTATCCCCTCATTACAGAGAAGATGTCTCAAATTAAAGGTCTGCATATATTAAAATTTTTTAGACCCGACCCAGATAAAGTTTATTTTTTGCCTGGCATTTTTACCTAGCTTGGCCTGTTCCAATTTTTTACTATGGTTGCCCAGCCTGGTTTAGTATTTTTTAAATACAAGGCCTAACCCAAAATATATGTAGTTGAACACCAAACTAAATAACTATATATGATATTAGGGAATGGTTCAATTAAACACTCCACTTTATGGATTATTATTTCTATCAAACATCAAAATTCATCAATAATCTAGCCCAATAATTTTTTTGTTCTGCCCAGCAAATATTAATTTTTTCAGACAGAACCCAGCCCAGAGCTCTATCCCAAATTTTATAAACAAGTTAGCTGAAAATTTAGATAGTCAAAGAAGCAACATTACATCAGGTAATGCTGCTTATATAATGAAATACGAAAAGTTATTAACCACAAGTTTTAATAACAAACATTTACCATTTATGGAACTAAATCTTAGATGAAAGAGATTGAAAAATTAACTAACATTTACTTTTAGATGACTATTTGCATTAGAACGTCTTCTAGTTAATGTTCTAAAAATTAAAAAAAGGCTAGACTGGGAAAATTTCCAATCACTTGAGATGACTGGCCAATCGAATAAACATGGCTATTTAATAATAATGTAAATTTTTAAAAAAAATAACCTTTTGATTAGAATTTTCCATGAAATTAGACAATAAATTCCGTCTTTCCTCTGATGCTTCTTCATCATCCCCTATCATGTCATCATCTTCCTCCTCGCCAGCATCTTCATCCTCGTCATCTTCATCAAGTTCTTGTTCATAGTCGTTTAGCTTTTCCGTCACATTTTTTGAAGAATGCTCTTGAGTTTCAGAGATTTTTGTTTTATTCTGTTTTTTCATATTGGAAGATATAAATAATGTTTAAATATAATCGCTTTTGGTTTATTTATTTATTTTATTCAAAACAAAAAAATAAGATTTTCTGTTAATCATAATATCAATGATCTGAGGAATAAGTAAGCACCATAAACTTAAATAACTTTAATAAAAAATTATTGAAAAAAATGATTATTACTAATATTTAAATATTAACATCTAAATTCCAAAAACATTTTGAGTCAATATCATGTGTCATCTAGAAGGATTAAATATTAATTTATTAATAAAAGTTGTGTGATAATTAAAATGGATATTCATTAGTAATGAAATCTAGGCGCTTTCCTCAGTATTAATACTAATTTTATATTAAATGAAAATTTGGTATGAATGGCTAATAATATTGTAAATTTAAATGTAAGAAGGTTATAAGGCTCTAGTTGAAATTGAACTAGAAAAATGGGCTCAAAATCCAGTTAGAGCACCATTTTTGTTTAATCAAACATTATAAAAATATAAAAAATGATGGTAAAAAATAAAAAAAAATTACTTCTTTGAGAAGTTTGACATTTGGGATGATGAAACTTTAAGATTAGATATTTACTTATTTTTATGGAGAACACACTTATTTTAACTTTTATTAAGTTTAAATTGATTTAAAATAAATATTATGATGATTTTAGAGACGATAACTTATAAATAGTCTTATAGCTATTTGAGAATCTACACCATCATTTTTGAATAATTACTAATCGTCTCTTTTTCTAATACCAAGAAATGGTTAGGGTAGTTGCAGATAGAGAAAAGAGTGATTGCTAAAATGATAAGGACTATGCATAATGAAGGAAGGAAATATATCGTTGTCCATTTATTAAATTGAAATTAAGCCAACAATCTATTTTTTGATTTTGCCAGAAATAAAATGATAGTAAGGATTTCGTAATTTATGTTAAGATATTTTCAAAAGGGGCGCAGTGTTGTTAAATGCTAATAATGTAGAGCGCTACCGCTAACACTATTTGGCAAAAAAGTAGTGCACTTTTGCTAGGGCTATTTTTTATGCTACTTTATAAATAAATATTCACTTTATTTTATTGCATATTAATAAAGAAATCATCGTTATATTACTTCCATCTAGAGGGGGGATCAGAAAGTATAAGCTTCGCCTTACTAAATAATTGCTGTAGCATTTGAGGGCAATGTGGTATTTAATTTTCTAAATTTGAGGGCAATGTGGTATTTAATTTTCTAAGCTTTTATATTAGATTAATCAACGTTATCAATATCTAATTTACCTGCGATTTCCAATAAAAAAGATCAGAACATAAATACTTTATATTACCTTCATGAGTCGAGATAATCTACTGTTGTGTAGATGTAAGAGGATAGATCAAATATTAAAGACTTTCAATTCTTGGAAATTATCCAAAAATATTACCATTCACTTCTGTAGCAGGACACTTAGTAAATGATAAATTTTATTAAAATTATGGATAATATATTTATATATTTTCTTATGTTGAGGTTGCTTGATTTGAACGATATTGCTCTTCGCTATTTTATGCACCCAATATTAAATCCTATATTAATTTTCTTATTAAATTCAAAATATTCTGCAAATTTGGGTAATTCCATAATATCATTTTTTTAATGAAATTATGTGGTTATCATCTGTCTCGAAATTAACTTCCATGTCTATCTCTATTGGCGGCATTTTAAATAACTTGATAAATTAGATTTATAAAGCATTTTTTTTTGAAATAATAAATTGTAATTTTAAAGTAGCTAAAATAAAAGCTTGCTACTCTACAGCTATTTTTTTAAGTAGCGCGCGATTAGCTAAGTTCCTAAAAAAATAGGGTTGAAAAATGTAAAATAATTTATTACGCTAAACATAAGTATTTAATGAGTTATTTAATTCTTCATGGCGTTAGAGAGCTTTAAAGGTCCAATCTCTGGATGATTTGAGCCAAATCTTTAAAAATTTTGTTGCTAACAACTAGTTTTACAATATAATAATAATATCATTATTTAAAAAAATTAATATACAAAAATCACTGTTTTTTGGTCAAGGTGGAATAACGTACCCAACGACCTCGATGATATTAAAACTATTTGATTTATATTATAAAACGACTTTAAAAAATGGGGTTGCACAATGGAAGAATCAGTAATTCTAGGAGTCATATAAATTACCGTTTAATGTGATTAACGTTTTTAACAAAGAGAAAAAAAATAAATAATATATTTAAATTAAAAACTGAAAAAAAAACAAAATAAATAATATAAAAAAAACCTCCAAATTTTCAGTTATTTCCGACTTTATTTCAGATTTGATATTATCCACTTGGTCAATTAAATCCCCATTTTCATTTGGATGAGCATCTAGTATATCAGTAGTATTGTCGTCATGTTTGAGAATTTTTTCTACATTCTTGGCCTCCTTTACTTTCTTTCTCTTGGTACCCCGAGGTTTTAAAATGGATTCCTCTCGTGATAATTTGCAAACCTTTTTAACGTCTTTACATTCTACAACTTTGGTTTCTATCTCTCCTTCTTTTCGCTGTTGACATCTAATAGATGTCTTTGATTCGACTTCCTGGGTTGTGTCTTCCTCTATGGGCTCTTCCTCAGAACTGGAGGTTGATGTTTCACTATTTTAATAGATTTTATATTTGCATTTTTTTAAATCCGTTAATTATTTATACTGACGAGAAAGAAATAACATATGTAATTTTTAAGCTAAAAATTCTAAAAAATACAAATAAAGTAAATAGGTTAGGCATACCAAAATGCCTTTGAAAAATTTGTTGTTATCTGTTATTGTGCAAACATTTTTATTTTGGATGTGATTCCCTTTAAAAAAAGCAGTTACTGCTTTGTTAAGCACATCATATGTGTGCCTAACCTGATGTCTTATACAGGCTAAAGAAGCTGAACGTCTCTCCAAATTTGTCACATCAATTATTATTTATATAATATAATAAAATAGAAATAATTTTTATAAATTTACCAATTAAATGAAGTCCAGCAGACAGGTGTTGTGAAAATAAAAATGGGTTCTAATAAACTTTCACATAAAATATCTTTCGTTTGAGAAATATATTTTGATATTCTTGCAGATAAGATTTGTCTACCTATCCACATTAGTTGCGGAGATTGATAAGCTCATATCATCACAGGTTTGATATGGATGATTTCCATTTATTATATATTTAGTAATCTGTGAATCTAATTTATCTTTTCTGATACCTTTAAAATTTGTAGTTCTGCCAAAAGTTAATTTTCGAGACATTTAACTAGTGTTGTTAAACGACTCGTTTTGAGCCGATTTTTAAAAACGGCGAACTCAATATTTTAGCCAGAAAAATATAGCCTAAGCCTTGAGATTTCGATAATATATGTATGGAACTTTATTCCTTCTATAAGCAAAATCTTCAGGCTTGCGTAATATTTTTCTAGGTGAAGTATTGAGTTAGCTGTTTTAAAAAATCGGCTCAAAACGAGTCGTTTAACAACACTACATTTAACACTAAGCATCTACTACCAGCCTTCTCATTGCGAAATCCAAAATATTTTCGCATGGCCTAGATATTTATACAGGTTCCTATTTATTCCTTTTGAATAATTTGAATGTCATCTATCATATGGCAAGTCAGGATCAGAATTCATATTATATTCTGTATCTGTGTGATTCATCCGTCTGATCCAATGACATATATAATACCTAGACTGACGACTCATTCATTAAAAGTGTACAACAATGCAAATCAGCTGGAGACGTCATCTTGGTTACACTAATCTTTATTAAAATTTTAAAAGAGAGCCTAATTTATTCCTATATCTGATGCAAACTTTATTAAAGAATTACCGGATCATCGAGATAATAAGGAAGCAAATTATCAATTTAATAGTAGTATTTAACATGAGAATAATTAATATAGATATGTGTTACCAAAATGGCGGGTCCAGCTGATTTGCTTTTAACGACACTTAAAAATGCGTTTTAATGAATGAATAATCAGTCTAGATATTATATATGTCATTGGTCTGATCAATTAATAATATGAAATATAAAAAAGGGCACTCTTATACAGAATCAGACATTTAATCAAAATTTTAAATTTAATTTATATATATTAATTAGTGTTGTTAAGGTAACTAGTTACATTTTTGCTAAAAAATAACTATAACTAGTTATATTTTAAAAATTGTAACTAGTTATATTTCTACCAATGTAACTGCCCAAAGTAACTAGTTACTTTTAAAAATATGTATGCATAAATCTAAATAAAGGAAGATAATGATTCAGATTTGAATACATTTCAATAGAAGCTATAATGTTTTCCTAAGGGCTAACCAATTATAATATAAATGACTTCGACTACCTTCCCAGGCATCGAAGATGTTCCTGACACACATAAAACTTAGTGGCAACACAAGATGCCAATAAAATACTTTTAAACAATGAGGATTATAGGAAAGTGTATAAGGTTGCTATACCTAAATGTCAACGTTTGTGGAATACACAAAACAAATATGTCTCAGCTGCCATATCCCATTGTAACAAGATGGGGTTCTTTTTATAAATCTTTATCTAAAATATTATCACTTATAAATGAAATGCCTTTGGATTTCGATTAATTATGTGATGAATTAGAATTGTGTAGGTGTAAATTTAAATTAATGTCTAATAAATAATTTACAATTAAAAAAATTAGATTATGCAACCAATAGCTAAAGCTATTAATATACTAGAAGGTGAAAAATATATGTATCTAGGTTATTATACCCCAACAATAATACAGATACTTATCTGTCTGGAATGGAAGGTGTTCAAGAATTAAAATATTGTCAACCTTTAAAAGATACTATATTAGCTAGTATTAAAAAAAGGTAACAAATTAATAATAAAATGTTATAGGTTTCATGATCTTTATGATAATGATAACATAATTGCTGCTATTCTTCATCCACTATTTAAAACTGATTGGCCTTGGATAAGGCAAGAAAAGAATAGATCAAAAAAATGGAAATTTTAAATTTAATAAATACTTTAATACCTCACGGTGAATCTAACACAAATGGCTCATGTTCACAACAGACATCATTAAATGTAGTTGGATTTTTTGATTTTAAGCGTCAAAATATTATTGATAATGATGAATTTATTGAAAATTTTATTAAATCCAATAACAGCACATTATCTTTATATGACGATTTTCCAAATTTAAAAATACTCTTTACTAAATATAATGTTGTTATTACATTAAGTGCTCCTGTAGAGCGTTTATTCAGTCTAGGGAAGCTCATCTTTGGAGAGAAACGAGAGCATCTTTTAGATAAAAATTTTGAAATCCAATTGTTGTTAAAAGCAAATAAACATTTCAAGATATTTTTATTCAATAATATAAATATTCTATTATTTGATATTTTTTTCGGTTTACTTGTATATTTTTTTAAAACAAATGATTATAATTTGTATATAATAATTTTTTTATATTAAATAAATTCGTTCAGTAAATAAATGCGTTATATGAATGATGTATAAAGTAACTTATAATGTAACTAGTTACTTTTAAAAATAAAGGTAACTAATAACTAGTTACATATGTAAAAATGTAACTAGTTACTTTTAAAAAATAACGGTAACTAATAACTAGTGTTACATATGTAAAAATGTAACTAGTTATGTTTCAAAAGTATCTTTAACAACACTAATATTAATCTATGTATCTTTATATGAATAAGAGATCTGCAGATACCATTTGCACAGTACTGCCTCGATTTTTTTTGGCCCAATATGTATTTTTCAACCCGACCCATAATTTTTTTAAAATATATTACATTTATTCTTAATTTTATAGCTAATAATAGCTAAGATATATGGCCCAGCCTGGGTATTTTTTCAAAAAATCTTTTAGGCTTGAGACCAGCCCAAATATATTTAAAAAACTTGGCTTGCAGGTCTCTGATTTGAATAAAAAATAAAAACAAATATCAATTAATAAATAATCTAAATATAAAATAATTAATGATATAATATTGGATATTGTTCTTTATAAAGAAAAGAGCCTCAAATTTATGTGATAAGCTTCTCCTATCTGTAATCACTAACTGTGCTGAAGATTCTGATGTAACATATGTTGCAGGAGGTACCAAATACTTATGTGAAAGATTTGCCAAAGTTGGAAACCTTTGATCATTAACCCTTCAATAATTAAAAGGATTGGTCAAAGATAAAATATATATCTATTTCTTTGTTATTTAATGAAATTTAAATTCAGATGATTTTTATTTACTAGTTCTTTCTTAATAAAAACAATTAAATAAATAGACAAATAAAAATGCACAAAAATTTAGTTTCTTTTATATTCGATTATTAATATATTTTACACCTTCTATCATTAAAAAATGTAGAAAAATAACATTAAGCATTTGTATTCTATATGTGGCACCTTCACACTTTTTATGGATTTATTACAAGAAAGGGAAATTAGTTAAAAATAAATGATTACAAAAAATATATATAATCTGTATTGGTTAAATTTTTAAAAATATAGGCCTTATTTCAAAAGTTTAATATCAGTGCTGATCTGATACCGAGCCCTAGTGTTGCGTAATCGGCTAAAAACTACGCCTAAGCCTAATAAGGCTAGGCTAAGCCTAAAAATCGGCTAAGCCTATATAAATCTGCTAAAATTAAATTAGTCAAAATTCTGCATCGATGCTTAGTATTAATTATTATTTATTTATTTTAGTAAAATAATTTATTTTATTTATATTTAATGTAAATATTTTATTATTATCAACAAATAAACATGATATGATTTAATATTTTTTATTTATATTATTATATTTTGAAATGAAAATAAATTTTTTTATTTGATGTTATTTTAATAAAAAAAATAATATGCTGCTATATTGTAAAAATATAATATTCTTTTTAATATAATTTATTAGTGATTTTCACAATCTTCTTTATAAATACATCTTTTATTGAGGAATTATATTGTAAATTTTATTAGATAAATAAACAATCATTTAGGTGAAATCTTTTATAATTTTTTATCATTTTTTTAAAATTATCTATTTTTTATTAAATGAGGTGGATTTTATGAAACTTTTTTGATGATTTTATATGATCTTTTTAAGGATAATATTTTAATGTGACAATTGTCATAATCGTTATTTTATAAGTTTTTTGAATTTTTTTGAAGAAAATAGGTTAAAATAAGTATTAATAACATGTGTAAATATAAATTTAGTGAAGATGTACCAATGAAAAGTGACAATTGTCATAATCGTTATTTTTAAAGTTTTTTGAATTTTTTTGACGACAATATGTTAAAATAAGTATTAATAACATGTTTAAATAAAAATTTAGTGAAGATGTACCATAGAAAATTGACAATTGTCATAATCGTTATTTTATAAGTTTTTTGAAGAAAATATGTTAAAATAAGTATTAATAAGTTGTTTAAATAAAAATTTGGTGAAGATGTACCATAGAAAAGTGACAATTGTCATAATCGTTATTTTATAAGTTTTTTGAATTTTTTGAAGAAAATATGTTAAAATAAGTATTGATAACATGTTTAAATAAAAATTTAGTGAAGATGTACCATAGAAAATTGACAATTGTCATAATCGT